CACGTGACCTGCTGACCTTCGCTGTCGGCGCTCGGCACAGGCGACCAATCTTTTTGGTACTGGAGTCCGCCGCATCATACCCAAAAGAAAAGATTTCAGAGCTTCTTGAAGACTTGTACCATCTGGAGTTCATCAGTCACCCTGGTCCCGTATTGCATGGGTGGCCGATTTCCAGGCCGAGAATGTACTGCATGGGCTTTCTGCGTGACAAAGTGACTTTCACAGGCAGCGCGGAAGAGTATCTCAGCCTCTGCACCCGTAGCGTGAGCATGACCGCAGATGATTTTTTCTTCTTGCCGGCAGATGAGCAAGATTGTTTGCGTGAGTTTTGTGAGTTGTGCCGCAAGCGATGCATGCAGTTCTCTGAGAGAGCCGCCGCAGAGCCCTGGAATCAGCATTACTCTGCTTTCCAGCAGACAGTCCTCAGGGAGTATGAGACTCTTGCGGAGGAGGCGAAGCAGAAGGCCCAGGAAAGCAAGCAGAGGAATGATGCCGATGCAGCCGCTTCTCAGGCACCATTTGCACATGCCACTCACGCCGACATGGTGGCCCTCGCCAAACAAGATGCCCTGGCCAGCGGCGTCTTTGTTGCAGACTTGGATCATCATTCCATGTATGGCATGTCCGGCTCACACATCCCCTGCCTCATCCGCCACGGCACCTTGTTTTCCATGCGGAAAAAGCGGCACATGTGCTTGACAGAGTTGATGGCGTGCCAGGGCTTTCCTGTTTGCCCACTGTTGGAGGCTGATTACAGGCCAGGTTTTGCAAGCATGGTGCAGGCCACAGTCAGGGAGGATCCCAGGTGCATGTCTGCCACACAGTGGCGTAAGATGTTGGGGAATGGAATGTTCGTCCCGGCATTGGCGTCCATCATGCTGTACGGCTTGTCTTGCATGGCTGATGTGCCAGCCAAAATGCTGCGGATGACCAGCGTCAGCAGCTTTGTGACAGGTCGCTCCAGCCAAGAGCTCGAGGACGACGACGACGACAGCCAAAACCAAGGCCAAAGCTTGATGTTCCAGGGTGATGAACTTGCAGGCTTGGGGCACTCGGCCTGTGAGCACGCCTCCTCCAGTTCCAGCCTTGCCCAGCCGGAGGAGCGACGGGCAACGGCAAAGTCAAAGGCGAGGCCAAAGATATTGCGAGTTGCGCGGGCCAGCAAGTCCGAGGTTTTGTTTTGAGTGCAGAAGACAGGCTGAGTGTGCTATAGCTCGTGCTGCTGTGGTGGCAACAGGCTTCAGCCACGAATCCAGTGATATGGTCAGGCATATGCTTTGACAAGAGTCGACCCGGGTCGACCCGATGATTGCTCGTTTTGAGATTCTCTGTATCACGTAGAGCAGTTGTCTTTCGGAAGGAAAAAAAATGGTCCTGGATGAACAAGCTCCAGGAATACTCAAAAAAGACCAGGACCATTTTTTTGATATAGCAGTACTACGGAGTTCTTGTTGCTGCCCTGGGCATTCAAGATTCATTCCCAAGTAGTGCAGAAACGCCAATAGCGCAGTAACACATGCCAACTTGCGTTTGAATTTCAAGTATCAAGAATTTTGCAGTTCCAGCGAGATGGCATCTTCGAAAGTTGCTCAAAATCGCATCGTGCAAAAAAGCATCACTCAGATTCATAAGCATGAGGCATGAGTGATGATGATTTGTGCTATGCTTTAGCCTGTGTAGTGCAGCAGTGCAGTTAGCAGACTTGCAGCTTCTGACTTGTGCTTGCACTGGCTTGCATGATGCCATGCAGAGGTGCTTGGCCTCTTTAGCTTGACATGTTCTTGCCACTCCGCCGCTTCTTCTGCTTGGTTCAGATTTTGGGGTTCGGGTCGGGCCGCCGACCGCCGAGTCGGGCCTTCTGTACATGCATGTGGCCTGGAAATGAACATTTCGGATTCTAGCGATAAACGTTGACCATTTACCATGTTGCAGGTCATGTGAATCACATGCATCACATGAAGGCACTGTGTAGGATTGTAGGCGTCATCCGCTCATTCCGACTCAGAGCTTGTCCTCCCTGGTCCTCCCTCAGCCCTCAAGGCATCTGCGACTGGCATCGTGTGACTGCTCACTGCTCTGAGCTCTGCTCTGCTACTGCTGCAGCGTCCCAATTCCTGTGGTGAGGAAACTTGTCAGCCACAGGTAGGTTCCCGAGGGGAGGCAAGGCCGAGGTCACAGGTGGTTTTGTGCCGATTTTTCAGTCCTAGTCCCACCGTCGAGAACTCCTGTCCTGCACAAGATGGACAACTCGGTATCAGGCGAGGCGTCCCAACCCACAGCAGGCGAAAGTGGCACAGGCAACCCAGACCGCCTGGACCCCGCAAGTTCAGCAGACAGCATGATGCCAGAGAACGCCGCACGCACAAACAGCCGGGCTGCACATGGGAGAGAAACACAGCGAACATGCACAACCTGCCTCCAGATGCCAAGTTTGCCCCGCAGAGATGCATGTCGTTCTTGCCACAAGATTGCACAGTCCTTCAGACACCATCGTGAACGGGCAATGAGAGAAGCTGAGCGTCACCCAGAGTCAGAGGAGTTTGCAGACATGCAGGACATGTATCAGAGCACACTGGAGAACCCAGACACGTTCCTTGCCATGTATGCTCAGTTTGGTTCTGCAGAGCATGCAACCCAGCGGCCCAGACAGGCATTCCGGCTTAGCAGTCTGCTTCAGCTTACCAATGCAGCCGATGCAGCGGGCGGGGGCGGGGGTGGGAACACAGATGCCACGACTGTGCTTCAGCTTACCACGCGTGAGCCAGAGCAGAGCTGACAATTTCATTGTGGAAATTGCAGCACAGCACCGAGTCGCACCGAGCCATAGCCATGTGCCCTGTATGAGAGTCGTTGGTTGTGCCATCCTGCGATTCCTCCCAGAGTATGAACCAAGTTGCAATTGCCATCTTTGCAAATTGATTGCGAGCATTCCGTGTTTGACTGTGATTGCGCAGCCTGCGTTAAAAGCTTTCACATGACACTGGGAAGTTGCAGTTGCAGCCTTTGCAGCTTGCGACATGCCAGTGTTGCGAGTTTGGACGTGATTTTGCAGCTTTGCAAGTCTGCATTTTTGTTACAGTCAGAACCAGGTCGCAGGCCAGGCAGTGCCAAGTAGCCAGCGGCCAGCTTCACTGTTCCATATCGTTGTCTGATTCTTCACATCGTTGAGAGTCCTTTCTAAGGCAGTGAAGCACGAGTCGGAGGTCACAGTTTTGTTTCGCATAAGGACTGACGCCTTGCAATCAGCAACAGGCCTCACAGCTGGACGTGAAAGCCAAAAGGTGGGTAGTGCTGCGCCAGACACTGATCGAAGCTTCCCTAACAGCCGCACAGTGAGCAGCCTATACATACGGAAGTAGCTTTCGCTGAATTGTAGCAGTAGCAGCCTACCTGGGTGAACTGGGTAAGTAGCTTTCGGCCGAATTGTCGGTAACATGCGGTTATATAGTGTGTGCAGTGGAAATGCGGACCTGAACCCCTGTGTAAGTTTAAATGTGTTTGAGTGCCATCGTGCCATTCGATGTCTTTTGTTGGAGCCGCTGACTTTCGAGACTTCAGATCACTTGTGTGCTCTGAGCCCGGCTGTGGTGAGCACTAGGGCACTAGGGCAATGGCGGAGCTCATCTTTGATGAGGACCAGGCTGACTTCATGGGTTCGGCCACTAAGGAGTCCACCAGTGCCGAGTCAGGGCAGTGTGATCTCAGCAGCTTGCCGCAGTTGAGCGCAGCTGATGAGAAGAAGCGCAAGACCATCAATCCAGATCGCTTGTGCTGCATTTGTCAAGAAGCCCAAGCGCTGCCGAAGTTCACTTTCTGCCGTGATTGCAAGAAGGACGTTCAGTCCTGTGCCAACTGTGCAAAGAAGGAGAATAGGCTGAAGGATTGGAATCGCTTGACAAAGACCACTGAGGGCCTGCGTCATGTGGTTTTGCACTACAAGCGAAATTGCCCTTCCAAAGGCCAAGGCGTGAAGCGAGATGCCATGGACTGGACCCAGTACCTCACCAGCACGTACACCAACAAGGCCACGAAGACCGGAGTTCGAGATGTCTACATGGATTGGCCGCAGTACGAGAAGTGGGCCTTCGAGAACAAGAGCCTGTCTTCTGGTGAAGCCCTGGAGCAGTGGGAGTCGTTTGAGCGCAACGGCACAGACCATGACTTTGGCGGCCGGTCGGGGTTCGAGAAGCGCTTTGCCGTTGCAGCTGAAACTTACAGACTGCGTGAGACGGAGGTGGGCAGCCGAGAGGACAGGGTTTGAAATTTGACAGCTGTGACGATTACATGTGGACTCATGAATGTTCAGTTCCATGGCCCGCGTGCGCATTGTTCAGTGACTTGCGTTGCAGAGGCAGATATTGCAGTTTGCAGTCTGCAGACTGGCATTACACGAGCCATGAGCTGTCTTGCAGAAGGAAAGAGAAATAGTGAGTGAGAGAGAGAGAGAGAGAGAGAGAGAGAGAGAGAGAGAGAGACTTGGGACTTGGGACCTGGTCAGGATAAAATTGATGGTTTGCACATTTTACATTTTGTTTTGACTGCGAACGTTTCATGACGTGTTCACAGACGTAATAGGGTGGTCCAATGGAAAATTCGTGCTGACCAACGTGCAAACATTACCCACTTACCCACGTTGGTTTTGAGATGAAATAAATGAAGGGCGCTTAAGCCTCTGAGCAGAGCTCTTGACTTACACTCTGGGATGAGCAGCGTGTTTGGGCTTGAACCTGAGTTTTGATGCCAAGGAAGGCTCCAGGGTATAGCCCGAAACTGCATGGAAACAGAAACAGAAAGAGAATGAGCAAGAAACAGACAGGGAGAAAGAAAAGACAGAGAGAGAGAGAGAGAGAGAGAGAGAGAGAGAGAGAGAGAGAGAGCGAGAGAGAGAGAGAGAGAGAGAGAGAGAGAGAGAGAGAGAGAGAGAGAGAGAGAGAGAGAGAGAGACAGAGAGAGAGACTTTTCAGTTGAAATTCTGCCGGTTATGGGACATGATCCATGGCATGCGAAAGGAGATGCTGTCTGGTGGGAAGCAGCAGAAGGGCAAGGCCCAGGAGAGCCTGCAGCAGAGCGTGGGGCAGATGTTGCGACGTGCCCAGGATACGCAGCATGGCTTCCAAGACAAGGTGACTGCTTTCCTTGACAAAGCAGCAGTGAGTGCAGCAGAAGAGTCGTCCCCTGAAAAGCTGCGAGATGGCGATGATGCACGGTCCGTGTTCGGGGACGGCTCGGTTGCTGGCTCTGAGAAGAACCAGTTGAAGGGTCTGGCTGCCGAAGACCTGCTTGGCGAGATGGAGAGTGCCCCGAAGAGCAATGGCAAAGGCGGTGGCAGGAGGGTCAAGGACATCGCCCGGCTTCGGGCAACTGCGTACGAGAAGCAGAAGAAGGTGCTGAGCACTCTGGGCACCGACGCAATCAGCCAGATTGAAGCCGCGGACAAGCTGGTTAATGACAACCAGGCCTCGAAGACGGAGTACGAGCACTTCTTTGACATCATCAAGGTGCGAAAGGACCTGTTGCAGCAGCTGGCAGGCAAGGACACCACACAGGCGGCGTACGAGTCCTATGTGCAGGGATTGGACGACAAGAGCCTTGCCTTGCAGCCTCTTGCAAAGGCCGTTCTGCTGAAGACACAGGCCTTGCCCGGATGCAACGACCTCTGCCAGTCGGTGCTGGTGCAGACCGAGAAGGGCGAGTTGGACAACTGTTGTAAGGACTTGACGGATCACGTTGCCGTCCACAACCAGGTCCGAAATGCCCTGAAAACCAGCTGCAAGGACTTGGACTCCACCGTCAAGCAGGCCCTGCGGCGGCAGAAAAAGGAGAAAGAAAAGGCGGACAAGCAGAAAGCGAGTGACGAGAAGAAGAACACAGAGGACAAGCAAGCCTTGGCGGAGAAGCTGAAGGCAGACAAGGACAAAGGCGCACCAGCAAAATGATAGCAGCCTTTTTTTTTTGTTTTATGATTGTCCCTTTGAATCTTAGGTCGAGTGTCAATTGTCCCTTTTACCCGTGAGATGTTGTTGTCTATGAAGCTTCGCTCAGGTGTGTACTCCACCCTTCTGCAAGCCCCAGCCAACCTTCTCACTGAGCTTGGAATGAGCAGCGTGGCAACATACCCCGATGTTGCTGCAGTGAAGACTTCCATCATCAAGAGCGAGGCTCCCTTCATCATCACCTCTTTCAGTGAAGTGAAGGCATTCATCGATCAAAGGCCTGCGCTGAAGTGCTTGATCACCAACTTCAGCCATCAGTTCCCGGGAACTGCCATGTGCTCGAGAACTGGAAGAGCCCAGTCCCCAGTGAAAACTGCGAAGGGCGACAACATTGCAGAGGATCTGCAAGCCTTGCTTGGTGGGGTTGTTCCTCTCCTCGAGACAAGTGTTCCGGAGAAGTTGCAGTCCGTCACACACGCTGCCCTGTATGGCTTTACGAGTGACATGGTCTACTATGGCTTCGAGGAGAGAGGCCTGCCACAGTTGCGCTACATCTGCCATGGCTCGCGGCAAGTCTTCATGATCCACGTGCAGGATTTCCTTGCGACCATCTCCAAAACAGACAAGGCAGACCTCCGTGAAGTGCTGCAGCTGTGGAAGGTGATGGATATCTTTCGGTGGAAGCAGATCGAAGGGGGCTTGCCTGTGCTCCACACCTGCATCCAGAAGCCCGGCTCCTTGATGTACATCCCGCCAGGGTTTTTGATCGCCGAGAAAGTGCTCAACAGTGAGAAGGTGGTGGGGATCAGAATGAGCTTGATCCCTCGCTGCTCGAAGAATGCGGCCCAGTTGGACAAATTCAGAAACCTGCTCCCTGCAGAGCATCCGTACCTTGAGATGACAGAGCTTGCTGTTAACAGCATGCGCGAGTCATGAGAATCTAGAGTGGAGGCTGTCAGTCTTCGTAAGGATCGAATGCTTAGCAACCAAGGCGGTAGCAAAGGCGGTAGCAAAGGTGACATGCAGGGATCAAGGAAGTGAACCCAAAACCCTAAACCTTGAACCCTAAAGACTAAATCCTAAACCCTGATCCCTAAGCCCCCAAACCCGAAACAGCTAAACTTTTGAATGTGCCCGGGCCTGGAGATCATTCAGATCCCAGATCATGGTTTTCAGGATATGAGAGCTGCGTTGCGGCGTGCTGCGATTCTCGTGATTCTCATGTCACGTGTATCTCATTCTGGTTTTGTGTCGGCTTGGAAACCTAGCCTGACAGAGCCTGACCATTTTGCGTTTCGCTTCACATGAGCAGCGTGCTCCACGTGAGATCATGGATGGATGGGCGTGTTAAAGACGTACAATTTTGTGCATTCTGCTTCACACGCACACAGCCTGCTCCATGTGATCATGGATGATCGTGCCAGATCCTCTTCGGCTTTGATTCTGAGGGAATCTTCAAACCTTCGAAGTCCGAAGTGGTTTTGCCAGCTGGTGCTCAGTCACGTGACCAGTGTCAATAGCGCTATGTGAGGTATGTGAGTGAGTGATGTGGCCCAGGGGCCCATTACAGCAGGTTTATATATGATTTGGGTCTCTGGGGATGGTCTGGAACTAAAGCACACTTCCTAAGATGTATATTCGCACTTAAACGCAGTGCGTGTAAGGTTGCTAGTTGGTAGGCGCTGTGCTGTGTTGAAAACTTTCGTCGCGTAGACCTCCAAGCCTTAAGGTGAAACCCTAGGCGCTGTGCTGTGTTGAAAAGTTTCATCGCGTAGACCTCCAAGCCTTAAGGTGAAACCCTAGGCACTGTGTTGTGTTGAAAAGTTTCGTCATGTAGACTTCCAAGCCTGAAGCCGAAAAACCCTAGTCGCTGTGCTGTGTTCAGGAGTTTTAACGTGTAGACGTGTAGACTTCCAAGATTCCAAGCCTTGAGCCGAAAACCCTAGTCACCTAGTCGCTGTGCCGCTGTGCTGTGTTCAAAAGTTTCATCGTGTAGACTTCCAAGCCTTAAGAAGCTGAAAACCCTGGTTGCTGTGCTGTGTTCAAGAGTTTCATCGTGTAGACTTCCAGGCCTTAAGCCGAAAACCCTGGTCGCTGTGCTGTGTTCACAAGTTTCATCGTGTGGACCCCCTAAGGTTTAGGGTTTAGGCTTTAGGGTTTAGGGTTTAGGGTTTAGGGCTTAGGGCCCCCAAGCCCGCAGCCGCAGCCGCTGAAAACCCTAAACCCCAAAGTACTGTCGAGCAAGAAGAAGAAACTCCCATGCTTGCCAGGAAGCCCTTCGCCGGAATCCCCTAAACCCTAAATTCCTTGAAAGCAAAGTCTGAACACCGTGCTGAGCCTCCGATCCTCACATGCTGGGGAAGCATCCGAATTAGAAGTCTGAAGTCCAAACTTGTGAAGCTGCTTCTCAGTCCGGGCAAGCATTGCAGCATGGCCACAGACGGGGATACTTTTCAGGGCTAGGCAGCGGCAGCTAGACCATCCCCAGCCCATTGTTAGACAAAAGTGAATGGAGCTGAGAATGACCATAGATGGAATACAAGTAATTCAAGTACTACAAGTACAAGTGTACAAGCACTGCTTTACTGCTAGCTGTGGCGGTTCTGAGAATGACCATGGCAGCAACAAAAAATTGAATACCAGCCTACAAGCGCTGCTAGGCTGCTACTGCTAGCTGTGGTGGTTCTGTTTGCAAGCTTGCCTTTTGCGGAGCTCATGAGCTTTGAGCGCTGAGCACATGTCGGGCCATTTGAGAAAAAGCTCTGCTTGAAAAGCAGAAGGGGGATCCTGGCAGGGCTCGGCATCATCGCGTCATGTTGCGGGAGCTGAGGATGGAGAAGCAGCAAGCTCGCAGACAACATCGAGATTCTGGGGCAACGTGAAGAAAAACAAGAATGATTCGCGTTGAATTGTCATTCTGTTTACAATGCTGTTTCATGATTTCATGTTTTGCTAAGCTTCAAGCTTCGCTTCCCTCAGCTTCGTTGTCATGAACCGTTTTCTGAATTCATTTTTCAAACAGACCTCACACATGTTTGATAAGTCCTTATTTCATGATTTGCTACAGCTTGCCAGCTTGGGCTCGTCTAGCATGTCATTAAAAAAAAGGAGATATATACATATATATATATATTGCTCTAGCGTGTCATTAAAAAATAAAAAGCAAGATATATATATATATATATATCTTGAAAGAAGCATGGATGGAATTCTTCACGGAACCGACGGAGCCCGTTTTGAAAAGAAGCAGTAAATGACTTTTCAGATTTTGCTTTGGAGCCCACAGTTCTTTCCTGAGACATCTGGTTTTAAAATAAAGTTTTCTGAGCGATCAGGATATGATGTGATTGAATGGGAATGGGGAGTGAGATGTTTAGGTTCATGGGGCCTTCCCCAACCACCTTCGTGGAGTCCCTTATGTGCACAGTGACATGTTTGGGCCCATAGCTTCCAAAACCACCTTTGTGGGAGTTGCCGTGGCCCAGTTGATCTTGCTGGCTGCTCAGTCTGATGTGGCCTTGAAAACAGTATCTAGGGTCATACGTCTCTGGATTGTTTGCAGCTCGCCAGAGCAGCACACGCTGGTGGTGGGCCTTGGCGTGTTTGGCGCCATGGCTTCCAAAACCACCGTTTTGGAGTCCATTTTACGTTGCCATGGGTGTTGATGTTTCTGACTTGTTCGCTGGTCTGAGGCGGTCCGCCAGTAAATTATACCACCAGGAGCACTGATGGCAGATCCAGGAACATCCGTTAGACCCTCTGTTCAATGCCTTGACGTCGGGATCTGGGGCAGATGTGCCATGCATTCGTCTGGAAATGCAGGAGGTGCTCCGGCATTGCGTGCTGTCATCACTGTCCACATGTGGTCATGCGTGGCTGCTAGGCACCCTGTGGATTTTTACGGATCTGCGAGGGCCGCTGCATTGCTTGCAACGTGTTTGGTCCATCCTTAGCCTACCTGGTGAGTCCATGCTTTGGTCCGTTAAGGAATGGAGGCTGATCCAGGGGGAGTGGACAAGGTCCCCCAGCACACTTTGGTGCTATGCAGGCACTCTTCCATGTTCTATGATGGCAGCTGGCAAGTACGCACAGCCTCAGGTGGACGGGTTCATGTTCAGGGCACCAGGCCCACATCGCACGGAATAGGTATCATTGTGGTGCCAAATTGCTCCGTCGTTACCATTCAACAATGTGTGGAGGCATGGACCTTCTCAGACGAGTTGAGGGCCCTGCGTGATGCACCTGCTGTTCTTGCAAATTATCTTTTGGCTGACCAGAGTGCTGTGGCGTCAGTGCCCGGTCAGACTCCTCTGCTCAGAAGGACTCTAGCTCCGCTCTGGACAGCGCACCCTACCAAGGTGTAATCACTTCCCGAAAGTTGAATGGTCATGGCATACCCCGCTCCTGATTCCCACTTTTGCTGACATGCAGTCCTTGGATGTTCACCATACAGCGTACAGCATTCAGGCTGTAGGGCTACATCTAGGAGGGCAAATGGGTGCTGGCTTGGGCGGTCGCTTTTGCACTATGGTGCGGAACGGTCAACACACCTGGCTGCTGAAAGATGGAGCTCCTGCAAGATCGTGCAACCTGCATTCCGGCCACCAGCGAGGTGTGCGCATGTTTTGGTGCATCAGAATGAGCTCATCCATGGCTGAGGTGGAGGTCCAGGATGCATCTCCACTGACTGAGCAGGTGATGCATGTGCCGCCCCTTGCATCAAGTGGCAGTGGAAACAGCTGCTACGACAAATGATGCATATGCCATTTCCATGCAGTGTACATAGCCATGACCGGCCCCTGACTCTAAATAATGAGTCACTCCGATATGTTCAGCTGAGATGAGATGAGTTGAACATGCTGGTACTTGTCTACTTGCATGTTATGCGTAAACGTGTTTCACGGATGGAGAGGCGAGGTCCCCAAAGGGGGCTGAGTGCCTACTTGATAGGCCGGTAGATTCTTCTACTGCTTTCCCATTAGTTCGCTCGCTAGGCAAGGATGACTTTGCTGCGTCTCGAAAGTCGAAAAAGTCTTCTCCACCCTGAATCCTGTAAAGCCCTCCACACCCTCAAGGGTTGAGGGTCTCGCGATCCAGCGAGGACGGACAGTGCCTCAGCGGCCTTGGAGGCATGAAGGGCACGGGGAAGGTTTCATGTGCGTCTCCGTGAACTTTTTGCTGCTCTCCCCTTTAGGTCAAAATCCCCCCCCGCCCCGGAGGAGCCGGCGTCGGCGCGCAGCTGGTGTTGATCGTGGCCATCGTGGCCTGGCCGGGTCGCTCTCCACCTTGGCCTTCCTGTGCTTGAAGGCTTTCGGGGCTTGGGGGGCTTAGGGGTTTAGGGTTTAGGCCCTTGAAGATCCTCATAAAGGAGTCTAAAGAATGAAAGGGTTTCAAGCCAAACCTCCCCGAAAACCCCCCAAACCCCACAAGCCCTTTACACCCCAAACGGCCCCAAAAACCGAATAGCCCTACAAGCACTTTAAACCCTGAGAACCCTCAATATAAAAGCCCTGGAAGCCCTCAAAACCCTCAAGCCTTGAAACGAAAATCCTCGGCGAACGCCCCCCCCAGTTTTCCGGGCTGCTCCGCATCGATGACCACACGGAGAAGATCGGCTACGACATGCACTCGCACTCCCCGCCGAAGGCTCCCACTCCAAAGTGTGAACGACTGGTGTCTGAGCCCTAAACCCGAAGACTTCCCGCAACCCTACGCCTTGAACCCAAACCCCAAAGCCAAGGCCTTGGCTCCTGAAATCCACGACCCTACGCTGCATCCATAAACCCCTCAACCCCAAACCTAAACCCTAAACTCTAAACCCTAAACCCTAGATCCGACACCCTGGACCCTGAACCCTAAACCCTAAACCCTAAACCCTAAAAGCCATCCCCCGAACCCCCCTGCAAGCCCTCCCTGGGCCAGGCCTATGCCTTCAATCCGTACAACCCGAACGCATCGGACTCTTACGCACAGCCGCCCGGCGCGGTAAGTGCTTCCGTTTGGGTCGAGGCTCGCGTGGGTTGAAGGGCTTAGGGTTTTCAGGGTTCGTGGTTGTTAGGGCTTGAGTCAGGGTGGTTTAGGCTTGAAGGGGTCTCTGGTTTAGGGGTTGAGGATGTGGGGTTGAGGGGTTTAGGATCCAAGGGTTGAAGGGTTTAAGAAGAGGCCTGGGGCTGAGGCTTAGGGTTCAGGCGTCTGGGGTGAGGGGCTTAGAGTTTTTTGGGTTTCCGTTGTCCTTTTTCGGGTTCTGGGGTCCCTTGCAAAAGCAACCAACCCCTCAAAAAACTCTGAACCCAAAACCCTACACCCCAAAAACTCTAAACCCTAAACCCGGCAACCCTGGGCTCTGAACCTCAAAGGAAGCCGATGGAGGTCTCTGGCACCGTGTGAGCACCGGCCTGTCTAGCGCATCTGCTGGGCTCAGGCCCAACCCATGTCGTGGGCTTTCGGGGAGATTCGGGGGCTTTGGTGTCGAGAGTTGGGGCTCTTGCATTGCACCTCATCAGGGTTCAGGGGCAGAAGGGTTTGGGGGTTGCAAAGGCCTGCGAGTTGGGTTTCGGGCAACTCAGCCGTCTTCCGCGGTGCGCTCGTGAAAGAGGCCCAGTTTTGCCCGCTTATCTATCCAGTGCGGGGCCTTCCAACAAGAGATTGGCGAGGTGACCACGTTGGGGGGGGCTTCGTGTGAAGCACCCCCCCATGCTTAGACTGAGACCAGAAGTGTCAAGCGGCAAGCTGGATGCCCCATGGCTGCGCTTCTGGCACCCTCAATTCATGCACACGTGGCGATGCCCGGTTTGGCCCGAGTCGCCAGTTTAATCATGCCGATCCGGGAAACTTCGACGTTTCTTAGGATCTGGTCAAGCGAGTGGAGAAGACACTCAGACGCGGCATCGCTGCCACGACGCCCAACATGCCGAAAAGCAACCTGAAGCCAGAAGGATACCTTGAGACCCTCGAAGCTTTCAATTCGGCTAGAAGGGTAGGGTCGGTGTAGGGTCGGTAGGGTTGGAAAGGTTGGACTTCAAAACATGGGTTTCACGAGGAGGGCGCGGGGAGGGCGCGGGGAGGGCGCGAGGAGGGCGCGAGGAGGGCGCGGGGAGGGCGCGGGGAGGGCGTTGAGAGCGTTGAGGGCGCGGAGAGGGCGTGGGGGGTCGCGGCATGATGCGGCAGGGACAGGTGCCGAGGGAGCCTTTGCCGGAGCTCTGCGTTAAAGCGGCAAGTCCCAGCTGAGCCCATGGAAGGTCCGTCAAACATCTTGCCGATGTTTTCATGTTTCCACAGAGACACCCCAGCTGCACAACTCGCGTTCATTGCTTGATCCAGTTTACATGGGCCCCACTCGAGCCCGGACTGTTTGGATGTTCCAGTTTCAAAACCAGGCATATTTGGCATAGACGTGTGGCAGCCGTTTTGCTGTGGCTGGAGTTGGTGCACGAAGACGGTGCTCAAACGTGCGCGAACATGAAGGCACGATTAGCCCAGCTTCAATCTTCAAACCTGCTCGTAGTTCTGTTCAGCTCTTGTTGTGAGAAAGTGGGTTTCTGAAGCTAAGACAGGAATTGTGAGCCTTGATGGACAACGGGATGCTGGGGGTGTAGCCAACAGCGGTGTCAAGGGGGATGACAGACGCGCGCTTTCGTGCAAGATGTTGCATTTGGGTGGTCGAGTGTGCAAGGGGTTTCTAGGGTTGCAGAAGCCCAAAATTCAATTGTTGTCTGCGGTTGTCAGGCTTGCATGGCAGCGCTGCTGATTGCAGCCTTCACTGCGAGTGTCTCGGCCTTTTCTTGATGTCTCAAAGCTCAGCACCGGGGCCCCGCATCGAAATGCTGTTCAGATGGCAGTAGACGAGTGCAAGGAATGTGTAGACGAACCTATAAAGCAACTGATGGTCGCTGTACCTGTCGGGCAACCCGAGCCTTCAGAGAGGTAGACGTCGAGGGTCACTTGGTTCAGCTTCACCACGGCGTCGAAAGGTGAGACTTGCGCCAGGGGTCGCCAGAAACACGGCGTTGCTCCCCGTCCAACTGGCTCGAGCGCCCATTTTACAGGGTCATGCAGGCCGCATTCGTCACGGACCTGTCCTTTCCCAAACGCAGGGACAGCGGCGTGGGGGGGGGGGGAGTTTGGGGGGCAGCAGATCACCAGCGTGACAAAGACGATTGATGAGGGGCTCACCGGTCACCATGGTCGCCCCCTTGTTAGGGCGTCGCCAGAGGCACAAGCGCGCGGAGACGTCATATATAGGGAGGTCAGGGTGCAAGGGGGGCATACAGTCCTAGGCGGAGGGTTCACGAAGGGGGTCGCCAAGGGTCCCCAGAGAGGCGGGGCACAGGCCTGGTGCGCGTCGTGCGGTAAGGAGGGAAAAGCGCCGCCAAGGTCAAACCCTCAACCCCGTAAACTCGAGACCCCAGACCCAAAACCGGGCGGGCTGTAAGCGTGAGGCGCCAGGGCGCAGAACTCTTCAGCGGAGCTACTGGCCGAGCTGAAGGCAATGGGTGGGGGGTTTAGGGTTGAGGCTCAACCCATACTGCACCCCAAGCCGAAGCTGAAGATCCTTAAAGGCCTGACAGCCTCCAAGCCGTTGCACCGTAAGGGTTCAGGGTTTAGGGTTTAGGGTTTTGGGTTTTGGGTTGTGCTGCAAAGTTAGGCCTCGTAAAGTGTTCAACCTCGAACACTGAACACTTGGAACCCTGAACGCCAGGCCCAGCGCGCCCTACTGGAGGAGCAGCGGCAGGAGCTGAAGCAGATGGCCGACGTGCAGGAGAGTCTACATGAACCCCACGAAGACCGCCTATGGACCCTGCATGACCCCATATGTCAAACCCCATATGTCAAACCCCGGCGTAAGTCTGTTTGCATATAAGGGTTACACCCTCCCTCCCCCCCCCGGCAATTTCCCATATTGCCACAAGTCCCCGCGTTCTGAAATCCCCAAGCCGTCGGACATCCGAAGCCTAAAGCCTCCGATAGCCTGATCTCCTGAATCAAAGTAAGGGGTTTAGGGTTTAAGGTTTACGGTTCAGGGTTAACCTGGCTAAAGTGTTGGGATGTCGATTGTTTGGGTTCGGGGTCACAGGCTCTGCTGGATGATGGTTTAGCAAGTTCTGCCTGAACCCTACAGTATTTGAACACCTCAAAATGGGGGTGTCACAGTCTGGGTGTGCCCCTTGTGGAGTTACCCCAAACCCCCAACCACCCTCAACCCTAAACCCTAAACCCTAAACCCTCAACCCTTGTGCAATATCACCTAGTCGAGAATGTATAGTGTACTGCCGAGTTCACATCTCCTCTAGTTATACTCCTTACTCTAGAGCCCGATACAGGGAGGTAGTTTGACCTTTGTTTTGACTCCGCAGGCCTTGGGCCCTAAGCCTTATCCGCCAAACAGTGTGCTGCGCAGTTACTGCTCTTCCACGATCCCACCTCAAAACCCTAAGCCCTAAACCCTAAACTCTTGTAGAGTTCATGGATGCCTGGAGCTGCAGGAATCCTTCGCCGGCGCCATGGATTCAGCCACCCGGTGCGGATGGAACCCCAATATATCATACAGTATACGAAAACAGATAAATATATCAACATAAGAATTCGGAATCAAGCAACAAGCATGTGAGTAAATGGATGAATATATCTAATGTATGCATAAACGCCATGCTCAAAGTCCTCACAATCCCAGTGGCATGAAAGGGCTGGGAGTCACGGGTGTCCCATTGCAGGCTCGGGTCTGCTGCAGAGGGTTTAGGGTTTGGGGTTTAGGGTTTAGGGTTTAGGGTTTAGGGTTTGGGGTTTGGGCTTTGCTCGCGCCTTGCACCTCAAGTTCCTTACTTGCCATGCGCTCCCCGAAGCCCCGAACGATGGTGGGATAGAGACCCCACCCCTGTAGCCCTCGCAATAAAGAAAACACCAAACACATAACACATGACACGTGGGTCTAGGGTCTAGGGTTTAGGGTTGAGGGTTGAGGGCTTAGGGTAAAAAGCCAAAGACGTGGGTTCAGGGCTTAAGGTTCAGGATTTGGGTTCCGAGCTCAGGGTGGGGTTGAGGGTTTAGGGGTTAGGGGTCTGTGGGGGGTGGCAATGAAACGTGCCCCAAGGCTTGGCTCATCCTCTGCGGCGCCCTTGTCATGTTCATGCATGCAGGCCAGGCTTTATTTACTTGGAGATTCAGCAGGGTACTTGTAGTTAAGGTTTAGGGTTTAGGGTTTAGGGCGTAGGGTGTAGGGTTTCGGGTTTAGGGTACGGGCTTTGGGTTCACTTCTAAGTAGGGTTACAAGTCGGGTAACTACGGTGAAAACCTTATTTGGGGTACTTGCAACCCTACGTTGTAAGTACACATGAGCCTTCAAGTAGGCTTTGGGGTCACGTGTGATGTGCCCATCCGGGTGGTCACGCAAGGGGCCACCTATAACCTTTCAATGGCAAAGGGAAGAGACCGGCGCTCTACCTGCGATACCACAATCAGCACTACGAGGCGCTCAAGGGGGAGGTTGCTGATGCCTCGGCTTGGGGTAACACACTGGAGGGCCCACGAGTTGGGTTGCGTGCTTCGCTCCATCGGGACCGCGGCCTCGATGCGTTTGGCCCTCGGCGGGGGCGCTCCCTCTTCTGTCGGGGCGGCTTCGGCTCCTTCAGAGCTGCGGGCAAAAGCGGCCGGATGTGGCCTGGTAGACACAGTTGGTCCGGGTCCAGCCACTAGGTCTTCGTCGGCAACGCGGACCTCCTCCTTGCCTCTTGGCCAGCAAAAGCTGTCTAGCTTCTTTCAGGCGGTTGCGTCGGCCCCAGCTGATGTGGTGGTTCGTCAACATTTTCATCCCACGGTTGATTCGGAGGCCGCGCCTGCATCCTCCTCCTCCTCTGTTAACCCCAGCCGGGACGGGGACTCAGAAGCGGAGGCAGCCCAGGTGGCTCCCACGTTGAACATGATGCAAGGCAAGGCAAGTTTGTTGCTTTTGGGGAGCTCAGCGGCATTCCTGTTGATCGCGCCTTGGATGCTGTGCGAGGCAGGCAAAGGTCGCGACGCACCCTGCAACAGTGGTGCAACGTTATTGAGGATTCCTTTTCGGAACTTTGCGAGATTATGTCGCTGCAAGCCCGTATTGCCAGCCTGGCGGCAAATGGAGTTATTTTTGGAGGACTGGGAGGGACGTAAACACCGCTCCACACATGTAGTGGTCCGCATTCCGCCGGGGGCAAACACAAGCGGTCTCACTGGGGGTGTCGGGCGTGTGGATGCCTGTGGCACACATACAATAACCTCATCCTCGAGGTGGCTGAGGCCACCAACGCTAACTGTAGAGGGCAGGCGGGGCGACGGGCAAATTTTTATGAGCCGCAGTTTCAAAGGCTGTGGCAGGCGAGATCTGCTGACGATCGTCAAAGGTTGCGCAGGTGTCTTTGCATCTCGGCCGATGAGGAGTTGTAAGCGTCCCAAGCAGGGTAACACTGCCAGCGCGAGAACAGGCTAAAGCCCGACAGGACAAGGCAAGCTTTCTTCGGAAAGGAGGACGACATCGACCTCCAGTACGCAGACAGGTTGGGGACGGCACCGAGGCCCCCATCTGTGCCGAGGACCCCAAGGAGTCCACCCGTAGGTGGAAGTGGACTTGTCCTTTCTGTGTGGTAGGGTTCGCCAGTAACGCTCAGGCCCACAGGCACCGGCCTCAAACTCCATCGTGCCCAGGTGCTTCGTGAGCGGGAGGACAGGGCAAAGCACAAGGTGCGCAAGGTTGGGAATCACTTTGAGTGGGAATGCAACGTGTGTCACAGGCTTTTGCAGGCCCCGAGCAGACAACAACATCCGGGTGGACCATGCCGATTGGCCCATTCGGGATTTCAGTTCTTGGACGGGCGCTCAACGTCCAATTGCGGTCGGCGGGCCTCCGAACATTATGCGGACTGATCGGCGTTTCACCTCTACCATCAAAGAGGGCTTCGAGGAGCTGGTTTATTTTTCTGGAACCAAATTTGGAACCGGGATGCCGGCAGCGAGGAGTTGGAGCGCCTCCAGTTCGGCACGCTCACTCGTGGGCATGCCATGTCGTGGCAACTTTCTGCCTTGGACCTTCAGGCGGGGCGGCGTTCAACACCCACAGCGCTGCGGGCCCCGACGGGTGGACAGGGGATGAAGTCCATGACTGGCCCGTGCGTGCGTGGACGCTTTTCTTGGATGTCTGGCAGCGCTGGGCGATCTCAGTGTTCAATCGTGTCATCGCTTCTGCTGTGGCAAAGCGTCCGCAGGTAAGGCGCTGGCTTCAAGCACTGGTCAACGACGACGTCCATGGGGCAATTCAAGATGGCTTCAACACGGAAGGTACATTCAGGAAAGACCAGTCGAGACTACCTTGTCTACGCCGCAAGGGGACCCCTTCGTTCGATGACAGAAACGTCATCGCCAGTAACGCTCCTCAAGCGGCTCGTGTCTGGAATTTCTGGCAGGGCTGGATGCTTAGACTCGGCTGAGAACACCGCGAAGCTGAAGGTCGTCCCCAAAAGGCCGATAGGCAGGGACGCCGTGCTGCACGCCGGTTTCGAGGCACGTCATCTGGACTCTCAGGCCAGGGTTCTGGGCAAGAGGGCTCCGGGGGAAGAACCTCGGACCGCCATGCACCGATGTCTCTCAAGGCGGCCTTCGGCGGCACTCGAGTGACTCCCCTAGTCACCTGGGGTCGTTGGCTGACGACGCCGGACGACCGGACGGCTTTGAAGTTAAGTTCCGCTTGCAAGTTTGCGGTGAGGGCGCATCGATCGGGTTCTAGGGATCTTTTTCATCTTTTTCATGGGCATTGGACTGATTTCAAGTTTGCTGGGATCCACGCTTCGTTTGTTGCCTTGTCCTGAGCCCTCCAGTTCTGGGCACAGCAGGGCACTCAGTACTCAGGCGGGCAGTGGTTTAGACAGCTTGGAAGGGACCTTCACGGCTTAGGGTGGCATGCGACGCCAGGAGGGTTCACCCACGCTGAGGTGGGGCAAATTTCGTGGCCCGGGCCAGTCGCTGCTGTTCCTTTCCAGCAATGGCTCAGCAGGTCGGCGCACAGCGTCCGTAAGAGTTGGAGGCAGCAGCGGTTGACTGCGTTCTTGGCTCGGCAAAGGATCGACAGTCGCTTGCTGCGGCCGGCATGGCCTTATAGCGAGAAGGTCATGAAAAAGGCTCGGGCCCTATTTGCTGCAGTAGGACAGGAACAAAGGGGTTGCTTGGTAGGTGCGGTCTTCTCTGTGGCTAGGTACCGTCGTATTAGGGAAGAGGCTCTTGCTGAGTGTCCGTTCTGCTCCACTCTGGAAAGCTGTGCGAAAGCACAGCGGCTTCCAGATGAGGGCGGATGGGCGCTGAGCGCCCGCATTGGTGGTGTCGATTTCTTCAAGGGGCGCACGCCGATAAAACCATCACCCTTGTCATGTTCATGCTTGCAGGCCTCCGGTCGCTTGAGGTCTGTTTTACGTGGAGCTTCAGCAGGGTACTTGTAAGTAAGGTTTAGGGTCTTAGGGTTGAGGGCTTCGGGTTTACTGCTGAGTTACAAGTCGGGCAACTACGGTTACAACCTTATTTGGGGTGCTTGCAACCCTACGTTGTAAGTACCCATGAGCCTTCAAGTAGGCTTTGGGATTTAGGGTTTGAGGGCGGGGGGATTTTAGGACTTTAAGCTTGGCTTATTGGAGCTTAGGGGTGTCAGGGGGTGGTTTGAGGGTCGAGGGCGCCAAGAAATTTCTAGAGATCCGCTACGCGCGAGCCGCTCATAGACTCCTGAACTCGACGACCCAATCATAATCCCCAAAGCCCTCAGCCTCCAAACACCCCTAAACCCCAAACGCCCCCTAAACCCTAAGCCCTAAACACTAAACCCAAAACCCAAAGCCCAAAACCCTCCGCCCCCCAACCTCGGAAGCCCCTAGGCCCTAAACCCTTGTCGGGCACGGAGACGCAGGCTTCGCAATGCTGGAGACCGGCTGCTGCCGTGCGAAGAACGCCTCCAACGTTCTGATGATGCTCGGGCTTGCAAGGCTCAAACCCTCACGAACCCACAGATGGCTATTTTCCGAAATTGGGGGCACCCCCCAATATACCCCCCCCTCCCCCCCCTCCAAATAAAAAAAGTTGTTGTAATCCTTGTTATAGGAACCCTGCCCAAAAAGGCCCACACAGCCTTCCCGAGCAAGGCGCCTCAACCCTAAGCACCAAAGCTCCCCCGTAAGCCAAGCAGTTTAGTGTTCAACCACATCGCTCAGCTCCTACAGCAAGCCCCGAGGCCTATGCCTCATAGCCCGGACTCCAGATGTACTTCATAGTTAGCAGACCTCAAGCTTTCAGACCTTGAGACCCCTGAGCATCAAAACCCCCTAGACCCCCATTCACCCAGTCCCCAACAGAACTTCCTCGAAACTTCAGGAAGAACCTGGTGAACGTGTCGGTGGGGACGTTGGGCTGGTGGATCTTCGGCTGGGCCTTCGCTTACGGAACGCGACTGGGACGATAGTGTTGTTGTGGTTGCTGTTCAGAGCTCTAGGCTTTAGGGCTTGGTTTAACAATGTTAGCTCGTCACAATTGCTGCTGATGTTTGAAGGCCTTGGGATTTGGGGTTTGGGTGCGTAGGGGACTTGGGGCTTGTTTGATGTGGTTGAACCTCCTCTAGGGGTCTTTAAGAAAACATATCATAGCAACACTCGTAGTAAACCTTTAATCAATTTCTTCTTCTGGGTGGCCTGAAGTTGTGGGGGTGGGGGGCCGAATCTGGGGTTGCTTTTGGGGTTCCGAAGACCCTCTCTTGGGAGGTCGTGGAGGTCTTGTCAGGGAGCCATGTCCAACCCGTCAGTTCAGGAACCATAGGAACCGCTCGCTGTAAGGGTTGAGGGCTCCAGGTTTGAACGGTTTAAGGCTTCATGGCTTTCAGGGCTTCTTGGAAATGTCCCCAGGAAAGCGGGCTCTTTCATTGGCACGGACGGCTTCTTCGGTCTTGGCTTCTACGAGAAGGTGGGAGAAAGCCCCTGAACCCTGCACCCGAAGCGGTATGTGGGCAATAAGTGCCAGAGTTCGTGATCCGTGCCCCCCCCGGAGGGTCCGGGGGTCGCTCCGCCTTCAAGTGACAGAGAGACAAGCCATGGGTTTCTGAATATTAGGGAGTTTAGGGTTTAGGGTTTAGGGTTTAGGGCTTAGGGTTTAGGGTTTAGGGTTTAGGGTTTAGGGTGGTTTTGGTTTCGTACGCTGTGCCAACTACCTTGAAGCAGGATGCTTCGGGCGTCATCATCCCGGTGGCTTGCAAAGACGGGAACTGCCAGTCCACGATGCTGAGCGCCAGGGATGCAGTGGGGGCGCTTTCTTTCTTGGTTTTCATGTGGAGAAGGTTGATGGGTATTATTGGGTATTGAGCTTCACTTTGCAGAGAGGCCAGGAGCAGGCTTGGCAGAGCAAAAGTGCGGCATGCCCGGGGTGTGTATTTCTTGCGAAAATTACACCAAAACGACAATTTTTTCCGAAAGGTCATTGGCCAAGGGAGGGGCTGGACGTGGAAAGCAGCGCGGTTCTGCGTTTCGTGAAAACCCCCCTCCGGTGCTTGCTTTGCTGCAGCACTCGAAACCACACCCGCACCCATTCCCACAAGACCTGAAACCTCAAAACGCCCCCGAACTCCAAGGCTGGTTTTTTCAGTGGGCGTTCTGCACAGCCGGGGCTACGATCGTGAGTGGATGCGTGGCCGAACGAGTCAAGAGCCCCACCTACGCCCTGCTCCTTTGCTGAAAGCCGGAGCCCCCAAGCTTCAAGCACCAAGAACCCTGCATCCTCACCCCCTAAACCCCCAGCCACCTTGAGTTTCTGTGGCCCTGAAGCTCCCCAGCAGTCGCTCTGAATCCCGAACCTTCCAGGTTCGCGTTCTGCATGACGAGCTTCATCTACCCGGTGATCGTGGCCTGGACCCTTTGCGATGGCACACAGCGGGGGGGGGCTCAGATGGGAAGAAAAGGAAACCTAAGGAAACCTTCGCTTCTCTTTTCCGGAAGGCCGACCTCCATTCCTTCAAGCAGACTATGTAGCACAACAGAGCCATAAATTCATGCAATACACTGTGTAATTTGTGCTACGAAACATAGCAACATGGGAGCCACCTGGAGCCAGTCCCCAAACCGCCCAAGAAACCTTTAACAAAAAACCCGCCTTCCTTGGTTTCGGGTGCCAAGCCGAGGACCTGGGGTGGCGGCTGGTTGGCCAACATCTTCGACGTGGGACCCTTGATGGTTCATGGGCACTTATAAGTAGGACTAAGTAGGGTTACAAGTGCCCGCAGCAAGGTTTAAACCATAGCTACCCGAGTTGTGGAGAAACTTATAAGCGACCGTGAACCTCCAAGTCTACAGCATAAAGTAGACTCGAGTGCTCGGACTCTTAGCTATGGGTCAACGAGAAATGGCACCAGGCGTCGGAGACGCTCAAGTGTCTCGAGCCATATTACTGGTATCAGAACCATTAGCCCACGCGGGTGGTGTCTCAGAGGCTGCTTTGTCAGGAAGACTTGCAGTTGTGGCTGGAGACCTCAAGGTAAGGGGGCCGGGTGGTAAGGCTGGTAAGGGTCAATTACCGTATTCTCAACGGGAGACACGACGCACAGCAGGCCTGTACCATGCGCAGGTCATACAGTTCCAAAGGAAAGGGAGGTCCAATTGTAGAAACACTGAAAAAGGTTCCATTCAACAGTGCAAGAGCATCTCGTTGACATGGGCTGCTTACTTGGTCTCATCTAGGATCTAGGCCGCGACATGGTCCCTGCTACATGTGAACAGCGTGAACAGGACAAACTGAAACGATGTCAGCACATGCGCACAGTGAAAGACAACCCGAAGCTCAATCAACCCGAAACCCTAAACCCTACTAAGCCTTGAACCCCAGCCTTTTCACATGCACGTAGCCCAACAAGAACCATCAGAGGCGGTGGCCAGTCCCAGGAATTCCTGTTTTATCGTGCTGTTTCGCTGTGTCAGAGATCTTCGGTTTAGTGTTTGGGTTTAGGGTTTTGAGGGTTTAGGGTCATTTCAAAAGCTTGGCAACACGTGAAAGCCCATGTTCGATTAGGTTTCGGCATGCTGCGCCCGTTCTCCTAGGATACATGGATTTTGCGGGATCTGGCATCGTGCACTTTTGCGGAGGCCCTCCTGGGTGGGGGGTGGTTGCGTTTGGGTGTTTTAGTTCTTGCTTCGCAAGGCTTTGGGGTTTAGGGTTCAAACGTTGAGGGCTTCATTCGGGGGCACGGATGTTGTGTGAGGTCTATGAGAGATTTGGAGTTAGACCACTTTCGATTCTTCTGATCATACGAATTTCAGTTTCCTTGGTTCGAGTCATAAGGAACGGTTCGGAACTCTCAGCCGTACAGCCCTCAACCTGTCATCTCCTGAGCCCTCAACCCGTCTTTCCTCACAACCTAAACTACCCTATACTCTAAACCCTAAACCCTAAACCGGAAACCCTTTGCTCTTGAACCCTCCATCCCACTTTCCTTTACTCCAGGCGTTTGCGGCCTCGCTGGCACCACCATCCTCGGCCCCCGCCAGGGCCGCTTCGAGAACCCCGAGGCTTCCCAGGTTTAGATGGTTTCAGGGCTTTGGGGTTTTGGGGTTTCGGGTTTAGGGTTTAGCGGTGTAGGTCTTTGAAGGCCAGCCCTGCATGTGCCAGGTGGTTCTATTTTGGGGACCTCCCTGGAGCTGTGTTGAATCCCTATTCTTGATCTTCGCGGGAAGCTTGAAGCTATTCAGGCCTTCGGCTTCAGACATTAGGTCCCATTGGGGTGCTCCGGAGGCGCGCAGGTTTGGGTTTTTTTGGGTCGAGGGCTTGAACGTGGGAGCGCGATCGCAGCCGCAGGAGTTCGAGTACCACAACATCCCCTTGGTCGTCCTGGGAACCTTTGCCCTCTGGTTCGGCTGGCGCCCTCGATGAAGTGGACGGGTTGGCCGGGAGTTCTGAGCTTACTGTCTCGAAGCCGAACACCCGCAACCCACCCTCCAAACCCCAAAGCTCCAAACCTTAAACCCCGAGCCCTGAACCCGGAAGATGCTTCTCGGGTACTTGAGAGGTTGAAGGTTTTACTTTGTTGAAAGTTCCTTCAGTCCTCACGCGCCCTAAGCCCTCAGGCCCCTCGTGAGTCCCAAGCCCAGGTACGGCTTCAATCCTGGCTCCACACTTTCCATGCATGACAAGGCTCCCTGGTGCTTTGGGGATTCGCTGTTCACGGTTCAGCTGAAGGTTGAAGAAGGGGTTTTGAGGTGTAGGGGGTCTTTTTAGCATAGCCCGAAGCCCTATACACCCTCAACGCCCTCAGCCCCTGTACCCGAAAGCCCGCAACCTCGCCGAGCTCTGCTCCTGCGGAGTTGCAGGGGTGCCCCTGCTTTCGGGTTGTAGAGCTCCGGCAACCCTTTCTGCTTCAAGAAGGGACCTCAGGACCGTTCTCAAGCCCTCAAAGCAGCAGCCCCTAGCAACCTAAACCCCACAAAACTACACCAAGGAAAGCCCTGCAATCCCTGAAATCCCCACACAAAACCCCCCTAGTGGAACCCCTGAAGAGCCCCTGAAGAGCCCTTCTCCCGCAGCTCCTTGGTGAGGACACGGGCGCGCTGGCCGCGCAGGTGGCCATGAACACCACGTTCCCTGGATCTTGCAGTAGCCCGGTCCCTAAACCCTTTAATCCCTAAGCCCGGCACCCTAAACCCCAAACCCCAAACCCTAAACCCTGAAACCCGAAACCCCACAAAGAAAGAGAACTCGTTTTTCCGAAGAAGGGGCGGCCAGAGGCACTAGCTTCTGAACCTGCCAGGAAAAGGTTCAGGCGTTTAGGGTTTAGGGTGGTTCAGGGGGTTTAGGTTCTGTTCTTTTTTTAGGGTTTAGGGTGTTCAGGGGGTTTCGGGGCTTAGGGGGCTTAAGGGGTTTGCGCGGTTTGAGTGTTCTGGGGGGTGCAGGGGGGTTTCTGGAGTTTAAGGGTTCTATGGGTCTGGGGTTCAGGTGTAGGGGTTTCGGGTTTAACCTTTCAGGGGCCCCTGGACCTATAAACTCAGGTGTAGGGGTTTCGGGTTTAACCTTTCAGTGGCCCCTGGACCTATAAACTTTAAACTTTAAACCCCAAACCCTATAGGACCTCGCACCCTGCGAAACCTCGCAAGGCTCTCGGCGGCCACCTGCGGAATCTCCGCATCCGGGTTGCCGGCGGGGGTTGGATTGCTGGGGTTTAACCCTAAACCCTAAACAAGCCCTAGAAAACCAAACCCGAAACACACCCAAAAGAAAGCCCCAACTAAACCCTAAATAAGCCCCAATAAACCCGCAAAACCCGAAACCCTGACCTCATTTTTGGCGGCAACTCTGCCCCCAGACGCACCTACTTGATGATATCCCCCAAAGCCTGCTTCTCAAGAGGGACTTCGAAGGCAGCTGCCCCCCTGTATACAGTAGTCCCAGAAACTTCCCGAAATTACTTGCAATTACTTCACTCTAAAACTAATGAGAACCCGACGCCCCCGCCCCCAAGCCCAAAGCAAAGAAAGGGCCTGGATAAAAGGGTGCACAGTGTATTTGCTGCGGCGGGCTGGAGGCCCGTGATCGCGCCGACCCAGTTGCGTCCTAAGCTGATTAATCAGTGATTCTTTTCATGGCTATTGATGATTCTTAATCATTACATTTATGATGACTAGACAGTCTTGAGCTTGAATGATCAGTAGCGACTACTGGTGGTTATTTGTGGTTTTGAACTTCTGACTTTTCATCTTTTTCCTGGACCCTGTTTTTCCTTCGCAAGTGGCGCTATACTGAATCCCAGGTATTCATGCTGAAGTTTCTGCTGGTGCGCAAGTACGACGTCGGTGCACTCTGCAACGGCATTCTTTCCGGGTTGGTGTCCATCACCGCGGGTTGCGGGAACATGGCGCCTCGCCTCTCACAGTCAGAAAGGTTGACCTCAACGGCATAAATGGACAAATGGAGGAGGTCGGAAGCCTGAGTAATTAAGCCTTGAAGACTTCCTTTTTTGGTCAAAAAGGATGTGTCCTAGGTGTAAAAACAAGCATTCAAAGTATCCCATATGAAGGGGCCCTTACTCAAAATCACGCAGGTGCCCAAACGAACCTTTTTGCTTTTGAGCTGCAAGTCACCCTGAACCCTAAACCCTAAACCCGATAGAACCCTGAGCCCCCTTTCCTCCTGTTTAGGGTTTAGGCTGCTTTATGTTTTATGTTGCGGGTAACTGTGAGAGAGCCTCGAATGGTGGCTTGTTTTTTGGAGCCTTCTGGAATTAGAGCTTCTGGGGGGCTTGTTCTCAATGTGCTTGCGAATCATCGGCCCAGGGGATGAAGCCCCGCAACGGGGAATCCTGACTGAAAAGGTAGCCTACTTGTGGTTATCGTGGGGACGGGTGAGTACAAAAGGTATACACAAATCTTTCTACATACATGCCTGTGATCGTCGTTTTTACAGGGACGTGAACGGGAAGATGTGGGTAGATTCCCCAAAAAGCGCATGAAGAGGAGTGCGGCAGCGCCGTGCTTACTGGCTTCATTGGCGCCTTTTTCTATCAGGCGGCTTCCATGCTCCTGGTGCGGTGCCCAGCAGTTGAGGGGTTCTTCCCCCACACCCTACACCCGAAGCCCTCAACACACACGCATCGCACCACAGATCCCGCACCTCTTCAGGGAGTCTACGCCCTCACAATTCTATAAGCTGCTGAGAAGGCGCAAGCCCCCAAAACCCCCATCCAAGCCACAGACGCCGAGGTGAAGATGAAGATCGACGACCCAGTGGATGCCAGCGCCGTGCACGGAGCCTGCGGATTCTGGGGGCTCCTTGGTGGAAGGGTATGTAAGGTATCCTCACATGTCACATGGTAGACGTACGAAAAAATGCGCGCCCCGAGCTTATTTCTAGTTTGGCGGACACGGTGGGGCCTTGCAAATGCGTTGTGCGGGTTTCTCTATACAATTTGGGAAAGAAGAACCCCTATGATATGGGGTTGGGCTCCGGAGCTTGTCCTCAAAGCGCCAAAAGCGCCTTCAGAGCCGATCTCAGGCTCATTGCAGCCGGCCTCTTCGACTGGGGGAGGGGCTTCGACCACTACCACGGGTGGAGCGGCTTCAGCTGCATGGCCGGAGAGGACCCTCATGGACGCACGAAACCTGCGGCAGTCCCAAAAGGCCGAAGCCCTCAACTTCTCCACATTTCTCCACCCTGAATCCTGTAAAGCCCTCCACACCCTCAAGGGTTGAGGGTCTCGTGATCCAGCGAGGACGGACAGTGCCTCAGCGGCCTTGGAGGCATGAAGAAGGGGCACGGGAAGGCTTCAGTGAGTCTCTGTGAACTTCCTGCTGCTCTTTTGTTTCCATGGCGCCCCTCTCACTTCCTCCCCCCCTCTCCCCCCCGCCCCCCTCAGCGCGCCGGAGGAGCCGGCGTCGGCGCGCAGCTGGTGTTGATCGTGGCCATCGTGGCCTGGGCCGGGTCGCTCTCCACTCTCGCCTTCCTGTGCTTGAAGGCTTTCGGGTCCGGGACCTTAGGGTTCAATTCGGGTTTAGGCCCTGAAAATCCTCATAAAGGATTCTAAAGAATGAAAGGGTTTCAAGCCAAACCTCCCCGAAAGCCTCCCCAACCCCCACAAGCCCTTTACACCCCAAACGGCCCCAAAAGCCGAATAGCCCTACAAGCACTTTAAACCCTGAGAACCCTCAATAAAAAGCCCTGGAAGCCCTCAAAACCCTTAAGCCTTGAAACGAAAATCCTCGGCGAACGCCCCCCCAGTTTTCCGGGCTGCTCCGCATCGATGACCACACGGAGAAGATCGGCTACGACATGCACTCGCACTCCCCGCCGAAGGCTCCCAAGATCGGCTCTCTCTTCAAAACGTGAACTCTTGGTGTCTGAGCCCTAAACCCGAAGACTTCCCTCAACCCTACACCCTAAACCCTAAACCCCGAAGCCAAGGCCTTGGCTCCTGAAATCCACGACCCTACGCTGCATCCATCAAGGCCCAAACCCCCACAAGGCCTAAGGCCCAAGAACCCCACTATGAATACGTCTCCAAGCCCTAAGGCCCTGAAAGACATCCCCCTGACCCTGTAAGCCCTCCCTGGGCCAGGCCTATGCCTTCAATCCGTACAACCCGAACGCATCGGACTCTTACACGCAGCCGCCCGGCGCGGTAAGTGCTTCTGTTTGGGTCGAGGCTCGCGTGGGTTGAAGGGCTTAGGGTTTTCAGGGTTCGTGGTTGTTAGGGCTTGAGTCAGGGGGGTTTAGGCTTGAAGGGGTCTCTGGTTTAGGGGTTGAGGATTTGGGGTTGAGGGGTTTAGGATCCAAGGGTTGAAGGGTTTAAGAAGAGGCCTGGGGCTAAGGCTTAGGGTTCAGGCGTCTGGGGTGAGGGGCTTAGGGTTTTTTGGGTTTCCGGTGTCCTTTTTTGGGTTCTGGGGTCCCTTGCAAAAGCAACCAACCCCTCAAAAAACTCTGAACCCAAAACCCTACACCCCAAAAACTCCAAACCCTAAACCCGCAACCCTGCGCTCTGAACCTCAAAGGAAGCCGATGGAGGTCTCTGGCACCGTGTGAGCACCGGCCTGTGTAGCGCATCTGCTGGGCTCAGGCCCAATCCATGTCGTGGGCTTTCGGGGAGATTAGGGGGCTTTTGTGGAGAGTTGGGGCTCTTGAACCTCATCAGGGTTCAGGGGTAGAAGGGTTGGGGGTTGAAAAGGCCTGCGAGTTGGGTTTCGGGCAACTCAGCCGTCTTCCGCGGTGCGCTCGTGAAAGAGGCCCAGTTTTGCCCGCTTATTTATCCAGTGCGGGGCCTTCCAACAAGAGATTGGCGAGGTGACCACGCTGGGGGGGGCTTCGTGTGAAGCACCCCCCCATGCTTAGACTGAGACCAGAAGTGTCAAGCGGCAAGCTGGATGCCCCATGGCTGCGCTTCTGGCACCTTCAATTCATGCACACGTGGCGATGCCCGGTTTGGCCCGAGTCGCCAGTTTAATCATGCCGATCCGGGAAACTTCGACGTTTCTTAGGATCTGGTCAAGCGAGTGGAGAAGACACTCAGACGCGGCATCGCTGCCACGAAGCCCAACATGCCGAAAAGCAACCTGAAGCCAGAAGGATACCTTGAGACCCTCGAAGCTCTCAATTCGGCTAGAAGGGTAGGGTCGGTGTAGGGTCGGTAGGGTTGGAAAGGTTGGACTTCAAAACATGGGTTTCACGAGGAGGGCGCGGGGGAGGGCGCGGGGAGGGCGCGGGGAGGGCGCGAGGAGGGCGCGAGGAGGGCGCTGGGAGGGTGCGGGGAGGGCGTTGAGAGCGTTGAGGGCGCGGAGAGGGCGTGGGGGGTCACGGCAGCGGAAGGGACAGGTGCCGAGGGAGTTTGCTTCTGAGGTTTTTCAGAGTGCACCGGAGCTCTGCGTTAAAGTTGCAAGTTTCAGCTGAGCCCATGGAAGGTCCGTCAAACATCTTGCCGATGTTTTCATGTTTCCACAGAGACACCCCAGCTGCACAACTCGCGTTCATTGCTTGATCCAGTTTACATGGGCCCCACTCGAGCCCGGACTGTTTGGATGTTCCAGTTTCAAAACCAGGCATATTTGGCATAGACGTGTGGCAGCCGTTTTGCTGTGGCTGGAGCTGGTGCACGAACACGGTGCTCAAACGTGCGCGAACATGAAGGCAGCCCAGCTTCAATCTTCAAACCTGCTCGTAGTTCTGTTCAGCTCTTGTTGTGAGAAAGTGGGTTTCTGAAGCTAAGACAGGAATTGTGAGCCTTGATGGACAACGGTATGCTGGGGGTGTAGCCAACAGCGGTGTCAAGGGGGATGACAGACGCGCGCTTTCGTGCAAGATGTTGCATTTGGGTGGTCGAGTGTGCAAGGGGTTTCTAGGGTTGCAGAAGCCCAAAATTCAATTGTTGTCTGCGGTTGTCAGGCTTGCATGGCAGCGCTGCTGATTGCAGCCTTCGCTGCGAGTGTCTCGGCCTTTTCTTGATGTCTCAAAGCTCAGCACCGGGGCCCCGCATCGAAATGCTGTTCAGATGGCAGTAGACGAGTGCAAGGAATGTGTAGACGAACCTATAAAGCAACTGATGGTCGCTGTACCTGTCGGGCAACCCGAGCCTTCAGAGAGGTAGACGTCGAGGGTCACTTGGTTCAGCTTCACCACGGCGTCGAAAGGTGAGACTTGCGCCAGGGGTCGCCAGAAACACGCGTTTGCTCCCCGTCCAACTGGCTCGAGCGCCCATTTTACAGGGTCATGCAGGCCGCATTCGTCACGGACCTGTCCGAACCCGGGCACACAGACAGCGGCGTGCGTCGGGGGGGGGGGGGGTTTGGGGGGCAGCAGAACACCAGCGTGACAAAGACGATTGATGAGGGGCTCGCCGGTCACCATGGTCGCACCCTTGTTAAGGCGTCGCCAGAGGCACAAGCGCCCGGAGAAGTCACAGGGAGGTCGAGAAGGGAGGGCCTAGAGGGTGAGGAGCTCACCGGGCGGCAGAGGGCGAAGGCAAGGGCGCACAGCGGACCTTAGACGTCATGGAGGAGTCGCAGTAACAGTCCTGGTGCGGAGGGTTCACGAAGGGGGTCGCCAAGAGGCCACCAGAGGTTTACCAGGCGTCACCGCGAGGTCACTAAGAGGAGGGGCACAGGCCTCATGCGCGTCTTACTGTAGGGGGGGAAAAGCGGGGAAAACCCTCAACCCCATAAACTCTAGATTCCAGAGGCTCCAATACCCCTTAATTAAGGAATTTCCCTGAAACCCTATACGGAACCCTCTCATACTTTAAGGAACCTTGATTAAGGGGTATGTGAGTCTCTGGGACCCTAGACCCAAAACCGTGCGGTAAGCGTGAGGCGCCAGGGCGCAGGACTCTTCAGCGGAACTCCTGGCCGAGCTGAAGGCATTGGGTGTAGGGGCTGAACCCACCTTTCTCTAGGAGTTAGGGCCTTAAAGTTTAGAGTTTTCAGGTTTAGGGGGTCTGGGTGTTTGGGGGTTTAGGTGTTTGGGGGTTTTGGGGGTTGGGGGTTTAGGGTTGAGGCTCAACCCATACTGCACCCCAAGCCGAAGCTGAAGATCCTCAGGGGCCTGAAAGCCTCAAAGCCGTTGCACCGTAAAATCGAGGTCACAGCATCAGCTGTGCGGTTGCGCTGCAAAGTCAGGCCTCATAAAGTGCTCAACCTGAAACACTGAACCTGGAACCCTCTTTCAACCCTGAACGCCAGGCCCAGCGGGCCCTACTGGAGGAGCAGCGACAGGAGCTGAAGCAGATGGCCGACGCGCAGGAGAGTCGGAAGTCAACCAAAGCACCAAGTTTAGAGGCAACTCCATATATTGTATCAGCCCAGAGGGATTCTGATGGCATATAAGGGTAACCCCCCCCATTTCGGGAACCTCCAAGCGCCTGATCCCCTGAATCAACGTAAAGGGTGTAGGTTTTCAGATTTATTGGGGTTCAGGGTCACAGGCTCTGCCGGATCGCAGCTGGGGCAAGTTTGGGCATGAACCCTAAAGTACCTGAACATCCCAGTTTTGGGGTGTCACTATCTGGGCTTTGGCTCCTTGCCGGAGTTTCTGAAGCCCTGAACCTTCAGTCCTAAACCCTTGTAGAGTTCGTGCCTGGAGCTGCAGGAATCCTTCGCTGGCGCCATGGATTCTGCCACCCGGTGCGGATGGCACCCCAATGTGTGTGTATTATAACGGATAAATCTAAACAACAAAAGAGGATACAGAGTGCATGAGCAAAGAAAATGAATCCATCTAATGTATATATATATATATATAACACCATGTTTCGTGGGCGTCCCTTTCCGTGCAGAAGGCGCAGTACTAGGTCAGGGGTTTGGGGTTTAGGGTTCAGGGTTTTGCCTGAGTTCCGACGAAGAGGAACCTGAGAAAGTCCCTTGCTTGCCAGAAGTGCGGTCGGGCTGCAACATCCTTGCCGTGCGCGGAACCCAAATCCTATAACCCTTAAGTCCTGAACCCAATGTGCTTGTCTTTTATACCTTAAGCCCTAAGCCCTCTTGTGAGGCTTGGCTCATCCTCTGCGGCGCCCTTGTCATGTTCATGCATGCAGGCCAGGCTTTCTCGCTCGGCAAAGGGTTGACAGTCGCTTGCTGGGGCCGGCATGGCCTTATAGCGAGAAGGTCATGAAAAAGGCTCGGGCCCTATTTGCTGCTGTAGGACAGGAACAAAGGGGTTGCTTGGTTGGTGCGGTTTTCTCGGTGGCTAGGTACCGTCGTATTAGGGAAGAGGCTCTCGCTGAATGTCCGTTCTGCTCCACTCCGGCTACGCCAGATTGGGAACACTTGGCTTGGAACTGCGCTCACTTCGCTGCCGGGCGCCCGGCAGTCCCCCTTGCTGAGCTCGCCACTAGGAGGATGGGATGGCCGCGGGAGCACGCCACGGAGGTTGCGGACGCGGAGGTGCTGGAGCATTTGGGCAGGGTGAGAAAGGCTGTGCGAAAGCACAGCGGCTTCCAGATGAGGGCGGCTGGGCGCTGAGCGCCCGCACTGGTGGCGTCGACCTCTTCAAGGGGCGCACGCCGTTCAAACCATCACCCTTGTCATGTTCATGCATGCAGGCCTCTGGGGCGCTTGTAAGGCTTCATGTACTTGGGAGGTTCAAAAGGGTACTCAGAAGTAGGGTTTAGGGTTCAGGGTTTGGGGTTTAGGATTCAGGGTTGAGGGTCGAGGGTTGAGGGTTGACCCTACTTATAAGTGCCCGTGAACCTTCAGGTAGACTTTGGGGTTTCAGGGTTTGGGTTGGAGTTTGGGGTTTAGGGGGTTTCAAGGGGTCGAGGGCCCTAAGAACCCCCAGATCAGCTAAATCCCCGAGTTGCATGACTCCTGAACTCGACACAACTCCGATCAGAATCCCTCACCAAGCCCTGAACCTCCAAACGCCAGCAGTTCCAAAAGCCCTCAAACCCCCTCAACCACTGAAGCCCCCCTAAACCCTAAACCCTAAACCTTAAACCCTAAGCCCCATACCTTAAACCCGTAATCCTGAAACCGCAGGCTTCGCAATGCTGGAGACCGGCTGCTGCCGCGCAAAGAACGCCTCCAATGTGCTGATGACTCTCGGGTTGGGGTTTAGGGTTTAGGGTTCAGGCTTTAGGCTTTAGGGTTTAGGGTTGCGAGGGGGGATCCGAGCGTTCCTGGTGCCGTGATCAGATAACATGTAACAAAAAAGAACAATCTTATCAAGGGATAACAAAGCGAACCATGCCAATGTAATGTTTCTACCACGACGTTTAAAATATACACAGTTGAGATTGCTCCAGAATCTTTTCAAAGAAAACAAAAGAAAAGGCACAATCACTAGTCCTTGAATGCATAAAAATGTTGCTATTGCAACTCTGCATACTTGACCAGTCATCCTGCCATAGTTGTACAAGTAACTTGTGCTACCAGAAGCCAAGGGAAGTTGTGGAGCACAGAAAAATACTCTAGACGCGTGAAGTTTTTGAGGTATCCCGGAGACAAACCACACCCCCCCCCCCCCCCAAACCCTAAACCCTGAGCCCTGAACCCTAAACCCTAAACCCCTAAAATCCCTAAACCCCTAAAAGCCTGCGGCCTGCAACGCCTTCTAAGAGCTTCAATCTTCAAGGTCAAAAAGCCGCAAAAAGAGCGAACATTGTTGTAAAAACGCTAAGATCCTAAACCTCCCCCGTCCGAGGCCTAAGCCCACGCAGCGTTCCCGAGCAAGGCGCCTCAACCCTAAGCACCAAAGCTCCCCCGCAAGCCAAGCAGTTTAGTGTTTACCGAATCGCCCCAAAACCCCAGGAACCCCCAATCCCCAACAGAACTTCCTCGAAACTTCAGGAAGAACCTGGTGAACGTGTCGGTGGGGACGTTGGGCTGGTGGATCTTCGGCTGGGCCTTCGCCTACGGAACGCGACTGGGACGATGGCATTGCTGTAGTTGCTGTTCAGAACTTTGGGGGGTTTAAGGCTTAAGGCTTGTTGAGCTTCTAGGCCGTGGGATTTGGGGTTTGGGGGGCTTCTTAGCCATCGTTGTCCACAAGGGACAGCAACTGGCAAAAGCTAGGGCCTCAACAGACTTAACAGTCCTCAGAACCCCGCACTGTGAGGGTTGAGGGCTCGAGGTTTATCGGCTCAAAGTCTTCAGGGCTTAAGGCATCTTGCAAAGCCAGACCCGTCGAAACCTCCGCAGAAAAGCGGGCTCCTTCATTGGCACGGACGGCTTCTTCGGTCTCGGCTTCTACGAGAAGGTGGGAGAGCCTCCCCTGAACCCCAAACCCGAAGCTGAAGGTGATTCGAGGGTTGGCTTTCAGGGTTCATTTGCTTTCACCCAATTGTATTGGGTGGGGCTTGTGTACAACCGTGCTAAGCCCTGGACACCCGAATCCAGAAGGCTTCTCTCAGCCCACAGGAAGCCAAAGCCTCATGACCAGGAACCCTGTGCAGATGAGTGCAGATCAGCATGGGCACACCCACACAGCGCCAGAGTTCGGGTCCCGAAGCCCTGGACCCGAAACCCTAAAACCCGAGCCTAAACGCTAAACCCTAAACCCCAAACCCCAAACCCTAAATCCTAAATCCCATCCTCCGCCTTGAAGAGACAGAGAGACGACCCATGGGTCTCTGAACCTAGGGTTGCTCCCAGCTTTGGTTTCATTTTTCGGGGCCTTGCGGGAGATCGGTTTAGGGTTTAGGGTTTAGTGTTTAGGACTTAGTGCTTTGGGTTGAGGGTTCAACTCGGAGGCGATCCCAAGTAGCCCTTGCTCACGACCGATTGAAGCAGGATGCTTCGGGCATCATCATCCCGGTGGCTTGCAAAGACGGGAACTGCCAGTCCACGATGCTGAGCGCCAGGGATGCAGCGGGGGTGTAGGGTTTAGGGTTTAGGGTGTAGGGTGAGGGCGTATCGTTTCGGTTTTGATGTGGCGGAGGATTCTGTGCATTGAAGTCGGTTCTTTCGAACAGATACACCACAAACGGCGTTTACTAAAACACGAGGTTTGCGGGAAAGGGTGCTAGCCGAAACAGCACACGCCAACGCACGACCAAATTCATAGGTGACAGTGTTTACTTGAATTGACGTCGGGGTGGAGGGGTGGGTGTTGCGGTATGTCCCGAAACAATTGGTTCAGAAGGGGCGAGCACTTTTCTTTGACAGGGCCAGTTTTGTTCATCTGCGTCTTGGTTTCTGACATTGTTCTGTTGCTTTGTGTCGTTTCGATGCCAGGACAGCCGAGGTTTTATAAGTCTTCCAGCCAGACGTGTCTCCATGTCGTTCGGCTAGGCATGTGTCTTGTGTGCAGATTTAGTGGAAACAGCACTGCGACCATGGGCGCGTACGCCAACAAGTGAGTGTGACTGAGAGTAACCCTTTACATGTGCATGCTGTCTTTTTCTCAGCCAGTTGTGCCTTCAGCGTATGATCCCATGCTGACCATGAGTGTGATTGCGCATTGGCAGAACTATTGTCGGGAAATGAAATCGCACGCGCATACACAGACACACTCCTCACTCTCACTTCTCGCACTCTCGCACTCTCGCACTCTCGCACACTCGCACTCTCGCACATCGCATTCGCGCTCGCGCTCGTACTGACACTCACACTCGCACCCGCACCCGCACCCACTCCCACAAGACCTGAAGCCTTAACGTCCCTGACTCCAAGGCTGGTTTTTTCAGTGGGCGTTCTGCACGGCCGGGGCTACGATCGTGAGTGGATGTGTGGCCGAACGAGTCAAGAGCCCCACCTACGCCCTGCTCCTTTGCTGAAAGCCGGAGCCCCTAAGCCCCAAGCCCCGAGCCCCAAGCCCCAAGCCCCAAGAACCTTCAACCCCCTCACCCTAAACCCACGCACGAAGACCTAAACCCTAAACCCAGCCACCTTGAGTTTCTGTAGCCTGAAGATCCCCAGCAGTAGCTCTGAGTCCTGATCCTCCAGGTTCGCGTTCTGCATGACGAGCTTCATCTACCCGGTGATTGTGGCCTGGACCCTCGGCCTGCGGTGGCACACGGGGGGGGGAAGAAACGGAGGGGGTCAGAGGGGAAGAAAAGGGAACCTTCGCTTCGCCTTCGGAAGGCAGTTCCAGGCCTGCAAAAAACAAACGACAATTGCACAACATGACGTTCTATCAGTTTTATGCAATGTACCTATGAGATTCGTTCTGCACAATATAGCAACGTTGGAACCTGGAGCCAGCCCCAAAATCCCCAATAAAAAGAAGTTCTAACCCCAGCCTTCTCTTGATTCGGGCGCCAAGCCGAGGACCTGGGGCGGCGGCTGGTTGGCCAGCATCTTCGACGTGGGACACTTGATGGTTCGTGGGTACGTATCAGTAGGCTTGTAAGTGCCTGCAGTAAGATAAAAAAGACATAGTTGCCCTAATTCTGGCCCTGCTTATAAGCAACCATGAACCTCCACGTGTAAAGTATAAGGTGCCCTCGAGCGCTCGGACTCTCAGTTGTGGGTCAGCGAGAATAAAGTAGCACCAGGCGTCAGGCGGAGACACGAGAGCGCTCTCGAGCCATATGACTGGTATCAGAAACCTTAGGCCCAATCAAAATTCGAGGTTTCCAACAGGCCGCTGTCAGGAAGGCTTGAAGTTGTGGCTGTTGCTGGAACTGGCACAAATACATTGTTGTGCGCGGGGGTGAAGGCGCCTGGTGGGGGTCAATTTACCGCATTCTCAGCGGGAGGCGCAATGCACAACAGGCCTGTACCCAAACCTTACGAAACCCAAAACCCTAAACGCTAAACCCTAAACCACAGCATCCACGCGGTGGCAGCCAGAGCATCCCTTTTGCACGTGCTGCTTGCTTGATCTCATCTAGGCCGCTACATGGTCCCAGCTACATGTGAACAGCACTTCGAACTGAAACGGCGTCAGCACATGTAGTAGCAAAATGAAAAAGCCAACCCTATGCTCCATCAACCCAAAACCCTACTAAGCCGTGAACCCCAGCCTTTCACATGCACGAAGCCCAAGAAGAGCCATCAGAGGCGCTAGCCAGTCCCGGGCTTTGCTGTCTTGTCGTGCTTCGATGTCTCGACTGGTCAGAGATCTGTTAAATCGCTTAGCAACATGTGGAAGCCCACTGACCCTTATACGCAAGACCGTGTTCGGTTAGGTTTGGTCATCTTAAACCCAAAAGCTCCGGTCCGGGGATAAGGCCGTCACTGTGGATAGGAAGCAGAAATGACGACCCGTCCGGGGGGTGCAGTATGGTTCAAGGCTTACTTTTAGCGTGCTGCGCCCGTTCACCAAGGATACATGGACTTTGCGGGATCTGGCATCGTGCACTTTTGCGGAGGCCCCTTTTCGGGTGCGTGGTGGTTGCCTTTGGGGTGTTTTGGTTATGCTTCGAAAGGCTTTGGGGTTTCCAGGATGCAGGGCTTGGGGTTCAAACATTGAGGGCTTCGGTCGGGGAACGGATGTAGGGGCTGTCTGTAAGATCTATGAGAGTTTTGGTGTTAGGCCACACTTGATTGTGATCATGTAACTTCTTTCTTTCGAATCATAAGGAATTAGTTTTTTGTTTGCAAGGGCTCTCAAAGCAGCTAAGGGAGCTGGACGGGTAGATTTCGTATTTCGTGTGGTGTTGTTCCCGTGACGATGCGGGAGATTCGGAAGCCTCAGACCTGCAGTCCTCAACCTCTCCCCTGAGCCCCCAAAACGGCCTTAAACCCCAAACCGGAAACCCTTTGCTCTTTAAACCCTCCCACTTGTTTTGGCTGCAGGCGTTTGCGGCCTCGCTGGCACCACCATCCTCGGCCCGCGCCAGGGCCGCTTCGAGAACCCCGAGGCCAGTCTGAGGCCCTTGAAAATATCTGGGTTTAGACCTTAAGTCCCCTAAGTCCCCTAAGTTTGGGGGTTGCCAGGTTGTTGAATTTTGAAAGTGGGAGCCCTGAACCCCTGAACCCGAAACCCAACACAGCCTATAAGCCCTACAGGAGTTCGAGTACCACAACATCCCCTTGATCGTGCTGGGAACCTTTGCCCTCTGGTTCGGCTGGCGCCCTCGATGAAGTGGACGGCTTGGCCGGGAGATCTGCGCAACACACCCTAAGCCCCAAGACTCTAAGTTTTAAACCCTCACTCCTGGAACCTCTTCTGTTGTCCATACTCCGGGCTTCAAGGCGAAGGAAGCTCTTCCTTCTCGGGTAGTTCAGAGGTCGAAGGTTTACTTGTTGAAAGTTCCTTAAGTCCTCACGCGCCCTAAGCCCTCAGGCCCCTCATGAGTCCCTTGAGTCCAGGTACGGCTTCAATCCTGGCTCCACACTTTCCATGCATGACAAGGCTCCTTGGTGCTTTGGGGTTTTCCTGTTCGCTGTGTGGGGTAGAGCTGAAGCTTGATGGGCGTGGGGATGCGTGGGGTGTAGCTGTTCGGGGGGTCCTTTTAGAACGGACTTCGGGTGGGGACTGGGTATGTGGGTTTAGGACGTCAGGGTCTGGGTCTCGTAGCCCTAAACCCTAAACCCTAAACCCTAAACCCTAAACCCTAAACCCTAAACCCTAAACCCTAAACCCTAAACCCTAAACCCTAAACCCTAAACCCTAGACCCTAGACCCTAAACCCTAAACCCTAAACCCTAAACCCTAAACCCAACACCCTAAACCCCTGTACCCCATGCCCAATCTTGGCGACACACAGGGCTCGCTATTTCCTCTGCACCGGGACTCAACCTTCCACCCTAAGCCCGCAACCTTGCAAAGCTGTGCTGTTGCGGAATTTCAGGGGCAGTTTCGGGTGTTCGAGCTCCGGCAACCCTTCCTGCTTCAAGAAGGGACTCCTGTGCTCCCATCACCCCATTCTCAAGCCCTAAGAGCAGCAGCAAAACCTAAACCCCTAAACCACATCCAAAGAAGGCCCCTAAAACTCCTAGAATCCCCTAAAAACCCAGAACCCATGAAGCCCCACGCCCTTCTCCTACCCTGAACCCTACACCCTAAACCCAAAACCCCCTAAACCCTAAACCCTACACCCTCAATCCTCAGCCCTCAACCCTCAACCCTAAACCCTAAACCCTAACAGCTCCTTGATGAGGACACGGGCGCGTTGGCCGCGCAGGTGGCCATGAACACCACGTTCCCTGGATCTTGCATTCACCGGTTTAGGGTTTAGGGTTCAGGGTTCAGGGTTTAGGGTTCAGGGTTTAGGGTTTAGGGTTTAGGGTTGCCCTGCAAGCCCATCCTTCTTCCCTAAAACCCAAAGAGAAAGAGAGCTCGGTTTTCAGAAGAAAGGGCGGCCAAAGGCACCAGCTTCTGAACCTGCCAGAAAAAAGGTTCAGTTGTTTAGGGTTTAGGGTGTTCAGGAGTATGAGGGTGATTAGGGTGTTTAGGGGGTTAGGGGGCGTAAGGGGTTTGGGGGGTTTAAGGTTTAAGGGGGTTTAGGGGTGTAGGGGGTTTCGGGGGTTTAAGGGTTCGGGGTTCAGGCTGCAGGGGCTTTCGCGTTTAGGGTTTTTCGGTTTAGAGGCCCCAAAAACCCGAAACTTGCAACCCCAAATTAGACCTCACATCCTGCAACACCTCGCAAGGCTCTCCGCGGCCACCTGCGGAATCTCTGCATCCGGGTTGCCAGCGCATGGTTGGACTGCTGGGGTGTAACCCTAAAGCCCAAATTCAACACAGAACCCGAAACTTGCAGTCGAAATATCGTGGGAATCATTGAAGAGGACTCCCCCTCCTCCTCTTTCACCCCCAAACCCGAAGCGGAGAAAGGGCCTGGGGAAAAGGTACACATTGGGAATCCCGACTGAGGAGTGCTTGTATGAGGGGGAAAGTCTCGAGGCAGACCCAGTACGTCCTGAGCTGATTAATCAGTGACTTTTTCATGGCTATTGATGATTCTTAGTGACCATTTATGATGACTATTGATTGTTATGGGGTTTTCGTGATTCTTGAGCTTGGACGATCAGCAACTAGTGATGGTCATTCATGGGTGAATGAATATCGTTGGTTCTTGATGGTGATTAATGATTACTGTGAATGATCCTGAATTGTTTCAAATGGTTGTAAACGATTAGAGGCTCTTGTTTCTGACTGTTTTCTGATTGTTCCGTTTCTTTTCCTGCACCCCGGTTTTTCCTTTGCGCGAGTGGCGCTATACAGAATCCCAGGTATTCATGCTGAAGTTTCTGCTGGTGCGCAAGTACGACGTCGGCGCGCTGTGCAACGGCATCCTTTCCGGGTTGGTGTCCATCACCGCGGGCTGCGGGAACATGGCCCCTCGGCTCTCATCCCACCTCGGACACCTCCTTAAGCTTTGAAGGCCCAAGACGCCACGCCGTTTTTTGCTTGCGGTCTTACGGTCTTCACAGGCATCTAAGGGGCAAAAATGTTCTTCGTAATTACGTTTCATGCATTTGTAAGCTACTTTATAAAGGTACGAATATGATTCTCTTCACTGTTCACTTCGTTCATTGCGTTCATTTATTTCATGCTTCGTTCGTAAACTCACTCATTATAGATTCATTCACTTCATTCTCTACGTTTTTATTCTAATAATCTTCTACGAAGGCTCCAACTAAAGGATAGGTCCTTGAGAGTGAGGTGAACAGACAAGGAGTTAAGGTGTCATGAGATTGATGGTGTACGAAAGGAAAAGTAAAGGTTAACCGCTCCTTCCCTGTCACCCCTTTAACCATCTTGACTTAGAAACCGTACCATGAAGAGCTACCGCATAAACGGCTCTAGGATTCACCCCTAAGAACCCAACATAGAAACCGTACCATCATGAGTTCAGCAGTTTGCCCTCCTTCCCCACTCCGTGCCCGGCCAAGCGCATGAAGAGGAGTGCGGCAGCGCCGTGCTCACCGGCTTCATTGGCGCCTTCTTCTATCAGGCGGCTTCCATGCTCCTGGCGGGGGGCCCGGCAGTTGAGGGTTCTTCCCCCACACCCTACACCCTAAGCCCTAAACACGCACACGTTGCACGATAGATCCCGTACCTCTTCAGGGAGTCTACGCCCTCAAAATCCTATAAGCTGTTGAGAAGGCGCAAGCCCCCAAAACCCCTCCCAAACCTTCAACCGCCATCCAAGCCACAGACGCCGAGGTGAAGATGAAGATCGACGACCCTGTGGATGCCAGCGCTGTGCACGGAGCCTGCGGATTCTGGGGGCTCCTTGGTTGAAGCTATGTCACACGTCAAATGGTTTTCTGTCTGTACAATGGTACTCAGGTGGTCAGTCGTTGTGTCTTGAGAGGCGTAAAAACATTGGGGCCAGAATCAGTGGTCACGACCGGGGCAATGTGCCTTGAGCTTACTCTGAGCCCTCCTAAGCCACTTCCGCCGATCTCAGGCTCATTGCAGCCGGCCTCTTCGACTGGGGGAAGGGCTTCGACCACTACCACGGGTGGAGCGGCTTCAGCTGCATGGCGGGAGAGGACCTCATGGACGCCCCCAAATGCCCCTTCGCCAATGCCTTGGCTTTCGCAACCCCTTTCAGGGTTTGGGAATCTTCAGCTGGAAATGCCCCCTCCAAAAGGCCTAAACCCTCAACTTATCCACCCTGACTCCTGTAAACCCTAGACACCCTGAAACCAAGGGTTTAGAAGGGTTTCGCGATCCAGCGAGGACGGACAGTGCCTCAGCGGCCTTGGAGGCATGAAGGGCACCTGGGAGGTTTCGGGGGGTCCTTAAATTCCTGCCTGCCCTCCCCTTAGGTCAAAAGGGTTTAAAAGGATGTAGGCGTCTCTATCAATGGCGCCCCTCCCCACCTCCGCCCCTCCCTCCCTCCGACCCCCCTCCGCCCCTCGCGCCCCGGAGGAGCCGGCGTCGCCGCGCAGCTGGTGTTGATTGTGGCCATCGTGGCCTGGGCTGGGTCGCTCTCCACTCTCGCCTTCCTGTGCTTGAAGGCTTGGAAGTCGAAGGCTCTCAAAAGAGAATAGTCACGAAAGGGTTGTGAGAATATTCTCGGGTTCGGATAGATGACATACGTATATACGATAGTGTAATGAGGGCCTTAGGGCTTTCTTTCGGATTGGAGGTGCTGGGCAAAGGCCACCCTGAGGAGCCACCAGCAACGCCACAAAACCTGCATCCCCCCAAAAAGCAGCCTGAATGCCCGGAAAACCTTCAAGGCCTTGGCACCCCGACCCACAAATCCTCAGCGAACGCCCCCCAGTTTTCCGGCCTCCTCCGCATCGATGACCACACGGAGAAGATCGGCTACGACATGCACTCGCACTCCCCGCCGAAGGCTCCAAGATCGGCTCTCTCTCCGAAGCGTGAACCCTTGGTGTCTGTGAGCCCCTCCCTCAACCCTCAGCCCCCATCCCTCAACCCTCAACCCCCAGCCCTCAACCCTCAACCGTCAACCCTCAACCCTCAACTCTAAACCCTAAACCCTAAATCTCAAACCTTAAAACCCAAGGCTTTGACTCCTGAAGTCTACGACCCCAAGCTGCCAGGAAGTGTGTTTGTTATTTGCCCTGTTTGACACCCTAAACGCCATCCACCCACCGAATTGCTAAGCATTCTGGAAGCCTTAACTCCTTGGGCCAGGCATATGCCTTCAATCCGTACAACCCGAACGCATCGGACTCGTACGCACAGCCGCCGGGCTCGCGGGGTGAAAAGGCTTAGGTTGGGATGTTCCCCCTCATGTTGACAGCCCTTAAGAGGGATTGCAATCGGGGGCACTAGAATCCCAATTGAGGACTGTTAGTATAATGGGGAAAATCCCAAGGCAAGGGTTTTCAGGGTTCATGTGGTCGCGGTTTGGCTAGGGGGTTTCGGGTTACGGTCAGGATCCAAGGGTTGAAGGACTTAGGCGCCTGCTGGAGGGAGTTGGGGTGGAGGGGCTCAACACCTGAATATTGAGGGCCTTTGAGGGCTTAAGTGGGGGTTTAAGCCTCAGATTCTCAAACCCGCGGTAGCTGAGTGATAATTTCGCTCTTGGCCCTTCTTGGGTTCCAGCCGCCTACTAGAGGCAACCAGCCCCATCAAGGGTTCTCCGATACTTGCATGAGTACAGTCTAGTTACCGACCTAGAGGCCGCCCTGACCTAAGCCCCTAAGCCCCTAAGCCCCTAAAGCCCTAAACCCTTAAACCCCTAAGCCCCTAAACCCCAAGCCCCTAAAGCCCTAAACCACTAAACCCCTAAACCCTCTGAGCTACCTCAGCCCTCAACCTCAAAGGAAGCCGATGGAGGTCTCTGGCACCGTGTGAGCACTGGCCTCGGGAGCGCACCATCTGCTGAGCTTGGGGTTCCTGGCGCGACAGATACGCCGACCCCCACTCATTTCGTGGGCTGTTGGTGTTCAGTAGGACCTCATCAGGGTTCTGGGTAGAAGGGTAGAAGGGCAGAAGGGGTGTTTGGGGTGTTTGGGGTTGAAGGCCTTCGAAGTGGGTTTCGGGCAACTCAGCCGTCTTCCGCGGTGCGCTCCTGACAGAAAGAGGCCCAGTTTTTGCCCGCTTATTTATCCAGTGCGGGGCCTTCCAACAAGAGATTGGCGAGGTGACCACGCTGGGGGGGGGCTTCGTGTGAAGCACCCACATGCATAGACTGAGACCAGAAGTGTCAAGCACAGCTGGATGCCCTGTGGCTGCACTTCTGGCACCCTCAATTCATGCATACGTGGCGATGGGCCTACGACTGGGGGTCTCCCCCTCCTCTCTGATCTCTTCTCATGCCTTGGCAGATGTCGACTCGTGCATCTTTCCTTAGAGGGGGACCCTGGTTTGGACCGAGTCGCCAGTTTAATCATGCGATCCGATTTGAAATCTCGACGTTGCTGGAGATCTGGTTCTGCAAGCGAGTGGAGAAAGCTTTCTCAAGACTCACACGATGCCCCTGGAGCAGAATTGCGGTTCCCAGTTTCGGCGAGCTCTTGGACTGAAGTCATCTCTGTGTGTGTGTGTGTGTGCGTGGTTTTGCATTGTTGTTGTTGTGTGGGTGTCCGAAATTAGGGGGTGCCTTTTTGGGGTCCTTCTTAGAAGGGAATCCTGCTATTTGAGGTCTATATTGGGGGTCCCTTAGTTTCGCAAACCCCCTTGTGTTCCAACAACTCACACTGCATGACGTGCAGAAACACCAGAGAGAAGCAACAAACCAAAGCGAAGAAAGCTGCGCTGGAATGGTGAAATAGGGGTTTACGAAAATACCCCCCAAATCAGGGTTCTTTGACGCTAGGGCAACAGCCTTATGAATGGTTGCCGCAAGACTCGGGATGCGCTGCTTCAAGCGAGGGAACGCCACAAGGCATCACGATGTGAGGTGCGACAAGGGTTCTTAAGGGAGCGGGGGGTTCAAGGGGGGTAGGTACCTAAAAAGCCTTAGGGAAGCTCAGGGAGCCTTAAGGAGTAGTTGAGAGTTAGGGAGCCTGGGGTTACAGATCCCCTAAGAATCCTGTAAGTATTTGGCTGCCTGAGTAGCCAAGCCAAGAAGCACTCTTGTCGGCGCTGCGTTCTGGAGCCCATGACTCAGAATCAGCCCGCATGTGAAACTTCCTGAGAATCATTACACCGCGCAGCTTGCCTGGTGCTCAAGCAGTAATGTCGAGCAGGACTGCGTGAGGTACAACAGACACACTCAGCCACGGACAGATTCCAAGAACAAAACACGGCTCAAGCAAACATACCTCGGCATATTTGCGAGTTCTCCCAACATCTGCGCAGCCTTGGCCAGTCCTGGCCAGCGCTCGTTTCTTCAGCATGGGCTGCGGTGCACTTCAGGCCACATCCGGGCAAGTACCAGTGGTTCCTAAACACACAATAAGGGGTGGGAAGAATCTACACATAGTATTCCCTTATGGTCCCTACATGACTATTTTATAATGACCCCCCCCAAAGCCCTATTTGTTACGTAAGGCCCCTATATTCTGGCTTTCCTTGCGGGCTAGCAGCTCTTGAGCTTGAGGGAGTTTCTGAGATGAGGGTCCGGGTTCTTTAACGAACTTCATCTTTCTTTCTTTGGTTGAGCGACCATTGACCATGGGGATATGTATATACATATATATACACATATTTTAAAGTCTTAGTAGAAGTAGAAGTAGAAGTAGACGTAGATGTGCAAGTACAAGTACAAGTATAGGTCTAAGTAGAAGTATAGGAATACGTAGAAGTATGAATATGAGTAGAAGAATAGGTTTTTGTATATGTATTATGTACTATGTATTATGTATTATGTATTATGTATTATGTATTGTGTAATACATTAATATGTATTGTGTATCATGTATCATGTATCATGTATCATGTATCATGTATTCTGTATTATGTGTTATGTATTATGTATTATGTATCATGTATTATGCATTATGTATTATGTATTATGTATTATGTATTATGTATTATGTATTATGTACATTTTCGCGTTTGTGCACAGGTACATGGATGTGTACGGATGTATGTGTATGTATACGTATGTACATGCTTATATGCTAGGCAGCCCTCAAATGGACTCGATGCAAGCGACACCTAGACTCATGGCAGTTCTGATTCTGGCAGGTCACTCAAGCATCCCCAAGCCCGAAACCCCGAATCCTAGACCCTAAACCCCAAATCTTAGCAGTGCACTCATGGGGCATTCGCGGATTCCCACGCGGCGAAACGCAGGAAGTTGCTGTTGATCGCCACCATGCGCTGTTGAGGGTTTTTTTTGGTGTTTAGTGTTTAGGGTTTAGGGTTTAGAGTACGTATGGCCGCCACCCAATTCACTGCACAGGTCTTTGTCAGGGTCAGCATGTAGGGGATCCGGAGTGGTCTTGCGGTCTTTCTACGTGAGAGTGTGTGAGAGAACCCTTGCCCTAAACCCTAAACCCTAAACCCAAAAAACCCCAACCCCAAACCCTAAACCCTAATCCCTAAATCCTAAACCGTAAGCCCTCAGCCCTCAACCCTAAACCCCCCAAAAAGCCCCCTGCCCAAGCAGGCGGAGCCTTGCAGGGAGCCTGCAGCGGCGGACCTCTCCTTGCGCGCCACAGTGGAGCTGGCAGCCCAGGGGCCGTTCTTTCCTTGTGAGCGGGCTTTTAGGGTTTAGGGTTTAGGGTTCAGGGTTTAGGGTTTAGGGTTTAGGGTTCGAGCTTTTAGGGCTTTTAGGGCTTGTAGGGCTTTTAGGGCGTGAATATTGTTGTTTCTGTTGCTGGAGTGATTTGGCGGTTTGGCAGGGTCTTAGGCTGTAGGCCTTGATAGGGGCATGAGGTGTTGGGTTTTAGATTTCAGGGTTCAGGATTTATGAATGCTATGCGACAGACCTCTACTCAGCTGCTCTGGGTTCTACCCGAAACCCTAAGCCCCACACCCTAAACCCTACACCCTGGAACCTAAACCTTTGAACAGCCTGGCGGTGCCGCGGCGTGCCACTGAGAACACCAAACGCCTGCGACAGCGGCGCCTACACCCGACATCCTACAGCCGAAGCTGCCCTCGCTGTCGAGATTTTAGGTTTTAGGGTTTAGGGTTTAGGGTCTTATCCCATGCAGCCCCTAAACCCCAAAGTTCTAGGTGAATCAAACGCCTTAGGGCGTGGGGTCTGGAAGCTGAGGACCTGGGAGCCGCGACCTGCAGCGGCGCAGTGGCCAGACAGGCTGTCATGTCAGGGCTTAACCCTAAACTCCTAAGCCCTAGAAAACAAAGGGTTTAGGGTTTAGGGTTTAGGGTTTGGGGTTCGGGGTTTTAGGGTTTGGGGTTTAGGGTTTAGGGTTGAAGGCCGCCCAAGACCTTGAACCCTACACCGCCTTAAGCCCTGGGTGCTTTGAAAGGGTTCAGGTTTCTAGTTTTTTGAAGGGGTGTCGGATTGTTCCTGGGCAGAAGAGGCCAAGCGGTGGGGCTTTAGCCTCCTTTGTAAACGCCCCAATACCCTAAACGTCCAAAAACCCAAGCCCTAAACCCCGCCTCTCGTGTGGGTTTAGGGTTCAGGGTTGAGAGTTGCATCCGAACGCAGGTATTCCGAAGGCAAGAACTCAACCATCGGGGCCAGTTGCAAGCTTGAAAGGGTTTCGGGCCACCTGCCTACCCTAAACCCGAAACCCTAAACCCTAAGCCCCAAACCCTAAACCCTAAACCCTAAACCCTAAACTCTAAACCCCAAACCCCAAACTCTAAACCCTAACCCTAGCGCTGAACCGCAAACCTCAAGTCCCGAAGCCCGGAAGCACAAAACCCTAAACCCCAAACCCCAAACGCTAAACGCTAAACCCTAAACCCTAAACCCTAAACCCTAAACCCTAAACCCTAAACCCTAAACCCTAAACCCTAAACCCTACAGAAGCCATTTAGGTTCCTAAAGAGGGGGCATCCTATAGGCTCTTCGTGGATGCAGCGGAACATCCCTGGATGATCCACCAGATCATGCTGCTGGGGCCTGCATCTCCGCTTGGGCGGTTTAGGGTTTAGGGTTTAGGGTTTAGGGTTGAGGGTTGAGGGTTATTCAGGTAGGACGAAAGTTCGACCCACATCAGCACACACAGGCAAGCATGGCAAGGCCAAGCCCCCATTCCCGTAGACTCCGAGCACGCCAGGCTTTCACCCCCAAATAAAGCAAAAACAAACGTTGGGACCCTAACATAGGAGAGTCCGCCATTATTGACAACAGGCTGTGATCTACATCCGAAAGCAGGGTTCTCGATCCTCCTGAGCCTCTTTGCAGTTTAGGGCCCAAAGCCTTAAAAAAGCCTTAGAACCCTTAAAGCCATAGACGGTGAAGGCCCTAAGACCCTTTCAAACCCTAAACCCCGAAACTCGAAGGTTGATAGGGTCTCGCAAGCCGCGTCCCAGCTGGAGTCCCGAACGGTTAAGGGTTCAGGGTGTACGGTTTAGGGTTTCGGGTTTCGGTTAACCCTAAACCCTAACCCTAAACCCTAATCCCTAAACCCTGACCCCAAGCCCTAAACCCTAAACCCCAAGTTTCCCACAGTACGGGCTTTGTAGGGCATCTGTCAGGGTGCTTGGGGGTTCTAGGCAACCCCCAAACCTCCAAACCCCTATGAAACCCCAAACCCAAAACCCTAAACCATTTGCCCTGAACCCTAAACCCTAAACCCTAAACCCTAAACCCTAAACCCTAAACCCTAAACCCTAAACCCTAAACCCTAAGCCCCAAACCCTCAACAAGAACCGAAGTGAGGCTCTACCTACCTCTCAGCCTCTGCAGCGAGCTGCCGCTGCTGTCGAAGTCCGCCCTTCGATTCTTCAACCCGAGCGACCCGGGCAGGGCCCTCAACGACTAG